TGCCCAATGGAAGAAAATACAGATGAAAACGACACCATGTCTGACGTCAGTGACGAAGATGATGACAAAGGATTCGCTACTCTAGTCAATGAAGTATGGGAGGAAAATCAATCTCAGTTCGAAAAAAAATTTTATAAGCTTATGGAGGAAAATTCCAAACTCTCCAAAACGGAAGCTCGAGAAGAAGTAAGCGAAATGATGTTACCCAAAGACAGAAACTTACTTTTTAAGAAGTACAAAAGAATTCTTTTAATTTTGGCGCAATTGAATCGAAGCAAACTCCATCGCGACATCAAGAAAGATGTTTCAAGCCTTATGGAGAAAAAGGATATAAATCTGGAAAGAGCGGTTTCCCGTACTCTTAATAAATATAGAGATGAGTTTGATCAGTTGTTGGAGGTTGATGACAGCTTTTACCAGGATCATTCCGAGGAAGAATCTGACGACGGGGAAAGGGATGAATAATTCATGTACAAGTGATTTGATATAATGTAACAATAAAACAAAGTCTTTGTCTAAATCTAATTCTTTATTATCAAATTGACATGTTATGATGAATATGTATTTACATATTGTGTAAAATACATGCATCACACTAAAAAATATACATAGTCAATAAATTTATACGACAAATTAGATATGTCTTGTTATATAACCAATTTTCACAATTCATGGTTCATGGTCTTACTCATGATTATCAAATGGTCTGATTTTATAATGACCGTGAGCAAAGGTGTGTATGCCAGAGTGTAGAACTGTTTGTCATTGTAGGGACTTACATGTATCGTTGTTTTACATATAGATTCATTACTGGTCATGTCAATATAGTTAATAATGAGGACCTAAAACCTCTTATTTTAAAAGGGCCAGCTGCATGCGTCTGGGTGTTATGTCATGTGTATATTTGTCTGTCTGGTAGGTTTGATGGGGGTAGTTATACACAGTACATTTTAGGGAGATTAGAACTGAAGATTACAACTAAATTCTCATAATTATTCTATCTTTTATTTATCCATTAATAGCAAATAATGACATTATTTAAAACTGACATTGTTTTATTTTACTTATCATAATTAGTATCATTATCTGGCTGTCGAGCATTTACGTCGGTCACCCTTCAAACCGGACTGTGTCTAAATAAAACCTCAGTGCGTAATTCTACGTTATAAACATTGGATGATATACACATTTAGATAGAATGCTATAAGAAGTCCCTTCTCCCATTCACGAATATGTGTGCAAAAAAGTAAATTAAACCCGTGTATATGTGTGATCTCTGTCTACATGTACTTTTATTGGATTGTAATTCAAAAGACTTAGCATAAGTAATGACAAAACTCACATCACTCATTTGTTTCATTAGATATATATTTTTTTTTTATCCAAACCATTGCCGTTAATTAGGTAGTGAACAACACTTAGCAAATCACCTGTACAGATTTCCTGGACAGTGGTTCTTCCATCAATTAATCGTACAATGACGGACATATCAATAATACAATGTTTAATCTGTTGTATCATTCTTTTGATGGTTATTTGTACAGCTAGATATAAATATAAACAATGTAATGTTGAGCTCAAGATACAAATGAAAATAAATATATCACCACTCGTGTAGTCGGAAACGTAGTTTCCGATCTTAATAGTTTTGTGTTTTCATTGATTAATCATAACTGTAAATAATACAAATCGGAAGTATGGCTTTCGATCTTATGATCGTATGTTGTCATTGAACTAACACGAATACAACTAACAAATTCAAGAGATATTTTCTGAAGTTGTTTCATCAAAACCGATTCAATAATATTTGATACATTTTCAATTCGTCAATTGAAGAGACATCTATCCATCTACTTCATTCTGCATTTCTCCCCCCGCGAACTTCATAAAGAATATTTATAATAGAAATTTGTTTGCTAAAATTAACTCGTTTCTTCATTTTCACTCTTTTAAATAAAATATACTCTTATAATACAGATAATATAATTATGTTTTCTAATTATAATCTCTCATTCAAGAAGCTTGATCAATAAATGATCGAGTTGTTACCCGGATTACGTTTATACTTCCGGGTTCACGTCGGGGTCATTTTGCGCCTCACGCCTCAAAGTTGCTTATTTTGCATCACTCTATACTACTTTCAAACTTTAAAGTTGGTAATTCAAACTTAAATCTTGGCTTTTCCAACTTTAAAGTTGGTAATTCCAACTTTAATTTTGGCTTTTCCAACTTTAATTTGAGCTTTTCTAGCCCTTTTCCTTGGCTTTTTTTCCCTTAATTTTAAATTATAACCAACTTATTTAATGCAAAATCAATACAATTTACCACAGGCACTTGTTTCGGTAATAATTTTTTTAACCCATAGTATAATAATAATATTTTTAACCCATAGTATAATAATATTTTTTTAACCCATAGTATAATAATAATACCCTTGTGATATTATTACACTATGGGTCAAAAAATTTATTACAGAAACAAGTGCCTGTACAATGTCATCATCGCAATTCTATAGAATGGACACAAAACCCGTGGCTTGCGACGATGGTGCAATGTACACTTAAATAGATTAATTAATATGTGTCAATTATTCTTTAACTTGACTTTCCCTATGACATTACATATAACTTCCAACTTTGAAAACTCTTATAGTTTTTTGGTCCATTTGTTTTGTATGTGAAAATAAGCTTAATCAATATTATTATTTGGTGTTTAATATACGGGATGAATCAACACTATATCACATGCTACAAATACAACTGAACTAAATGTATTAATTCTGTATGTGAAAACACAATGAAAAAAGTTCTTCTTTCATCATAAATTCATAATTAAATCGTTTCTTTCCATTGTAATTACATGTATAAAACAGCAACAAATGAGTGGAGCTACAAAGTATCTGTATATAACACATAAAGCCGTACAAAGATAGAAAAGCCAATATTAAAGTTGGAATTACCAACTTTAAAGTTGGCAAGATTAAAGTTGGAAAAGCCAAGATTAAAGTTGAAATTACACACTTTAAGTTTGAAAAGCCAACTTTATAAAGTTGGAAAAGCCAAGATTAATGTTTGAATTACCAACTTTAAGGTTGGAAAAAAAATTAAAGTTGGAATTACCAACTTTAAAGTTGGAATTACATGCACCTACTTAAAAAAAATTACTTGGCAGTTTTTTTTTTTTTTTTTTTTTTTTTTTTTTTTTTTTTTTTTTTTTGGCACCAATACGCTTCCGTAGGTTCAAACTTTTTTCCAGTACCAAATTTTATTAATACAGTACTACCTTACCCTTATTTGCCTATATGTATACTGCAACAAAAAAGGGGAACCGACTTTAATTCAATGAACATTTTAATAGTAATGGTATGTTTGGGAAAAAAGTGGGGGCGGGGCAAATTCCAGCATTTGAAAAAAAAATGTACCAAAAGGTTATAAAAGGTCCAAAGGATTGTCGAGTTTGGACAGTTAAGGGGGGGGGGGGAGACCCGGGGTAAATGTTTTTGCTTATCAAAATTTTGGAGGAGCCGCCATCCCCCTTTTTTTTTAAAATCGTTTAATTAATTTAATCAGTATTTTATTACATAATTGGATTGAACATCAGGCATGGCCTATATAAGTCCTCCCCATCGTTAAATCGTTGCCACGGACCTGAACATTGTGCAAATACAAAAAAATATATCTACATGATACTCTGTAGGACGGTAAGAATATTAAAAAATGTATAGCTTTGGACCAGGGTTCTGAACTGAACGGCTTAAAGAGACTGCTGACCACCACGTAGTGCGACAAAGACTTCTATGACGTCTCTGTACGGGGGGAATAATTCAAACAAGAAATTTGATGCATGAATTGGTATATATTTTTTGATTGATTTTGCATAGAAATGACATAAATAATAAATTCCTAAAATATAATGAAATTATAAGTATTCTTTACTGGATTATTAAAATTAAAAAGTTTAATATTACAATTTTTGACAAGTTATTTCAATGTAATGTCATATTTTTTCTATGTGGGAAGTTTCGTTAAGTTCGTAGCTGTGGTGAGCCGAACATCTATGAATGATTCGTACAAATGATTCCTGTAGATTACACGCCAAACATGTCCATCTTCTTGATAGGTTGATAAAACAAATTGAGAATCTGTTAAAAGAAATAAATAAAAGATACTGCTGTGACTCAGATCAACACTGCATGACTTCTTACACTTTTAGTCCCAACGTAATTAGCACTGCATGATTTCTTGCATTTTTACTTGTTGAAAAAGTTTCAGTGAAGCTGACCCCTACTCCAACCCCCTAGGATTTTCAAGTATGGACAATATCCCTTTTTCCCTTGTCAAAAAAGGCCTTGAACTGCGTTCCCCGTTTTGAAATTTCTGGATCCGCCATTGAATGTGCATCTGAACCCCAACCCGCACTAAATTCATCGTAGTCCGTCGTTTATGTTTATTCACCAATTAAGGGGGGGGGGGGGGGATGTACATGAAATCAAACAATATAATCATGTCAGATTATAATAACAAATAATGGTTAAATGAATAACATAATTTTCAGTAACTGTTTAATTTTATTGTAAATGAATATTCATATTTTTTTTTAGCATGTTTTAATTAGTATCATTGCAGTACTTTCTTATAAATGAGGAATTCGAATCGTGAATTGAAGGTAAATCATCACTGAATTATGACCTGGAAAAAATCTAGGATCCCTATATTTTTTATTTCATTTTTTTTTTAAATTAAAACAGAGACGCACAATTTAATTTACCCATTACATAAAAAAAACTTTCTATGACATATTGCCTGCAATGCTATTAAATGTACAGATTAATTTTTGTATCTCATGAAAAATGAGGAAAGAAGATTGATGATTTATAAAATTTTCAGTTGTCTTCCCTTACAGGAAGATGCAATCCTGTGGATGACGTCAAATGCCACGGGGAATCGGACTATTTTCTTCCGGAGTAGATTATTAACATTTTCGAGCTGATCATTGTAGATTTCATTTATTATCATTTAACACAGTGTATATGTCAATTATAGTATAGTAATTTATCATTATAATAGTGGCATTGCTTGGTATGTTAATTTAAAAGCACTTCTTTCCTTCCGCGCTGGCTGTTGTTGGTTCGGAAGCCATATTGTTCGTATACGATGAGCATATCACCTGATGAAAAGAAAAAATTCGGCCTGTAATTGAACAAAGCATAGAAGAAAACATTGGCAGGTGCCCAGTCTCATTCTTGATGCGTAGATTTCCAGACTTCCAGGCATTCCTAAATTTCTGAAGGAACGAAAATGATTCGGTAATATCACCTGTCCTCCTCCCACCTGTATATTATTTTCATTGATCATGTTGATTGCTGAAATGCCGGTTCAAGTAAAACTGCAAAAGTTGTCAATATCTAATCTAATGATAGGTAGTTTGTATTTGTGTGATTAGATCAGTGCTACATTGTAGTGTTGACTATAATATCGGGGCTTCAACTTGGAGGACTCCAGTGTGTGAATGACATTGGGGGAGGGGTCATAGATTGATTGTAATTGATTATCTATGTTATTGATTGGTTTTTAAACTATTCATGTAATGATCTCTTTAAAGTAAAAACAATGTTAATTTGAAAGTGAGTGAGACAGAAACTGCTTTAAAGTATATGCTGATTAAGATTATGGTACATGCATTACAAATGCAAAGTGATTCATGAGGCAAATAAAATCTGACTGATATGTATGCAGAATCTTAACAAAATGTTCGCTTTCAACTGGGTTTCAACATGCTGTAAATTGAAATGACATGCACTACAAGTTCTTCTCGATAAACAATCATCATAAATTTAACCACCCCTTCCATTTACATGATATACAATCCCCAAAGTTGGGAGGTAATTTCCTCACACTTTGTGTGTATTTGTTGAGACCAAAATGAAATGATTATGCAAAATCAACTTTGGTATTTTGGTCACTTTCTCTGTACAGGCTGATTATCTGTACATATTTTCAACCAGGTGATATTCCCATGGTAACTTTTATTCCTAAGAAAATTCTCTTGATATGGAGAGGGTGCATGAAAGACAAGCATGCACAGCTAGGATTTGGCTTGATAAAAAGTGTATTCCTATGTGTATGAAACATTTTGGTGGTGGTGAAATTTCTTGCATATGAAATTAAGCATGTGATCACATAGCTGTAAATACTACCATATGTATGCAGCCACATTTTTTATGCTTTTATAATAAGCATGGCATTTTGGGAATAGTAGAATATGAGTATATATGAAAGGACTTTAATTTATTGACACCAAACATGTGTGATATTTTGAGGGTACATAAGTGCATTCTAAACCTACAAGTGATATTTTAACTTTATTTTGATTTGGTCTGTTTATATCTTTATCTATAACCACATTAAATTGAAGATAACTTCAATATTTGATTTACTTGAATTTTGTCAAGGATATATTGCATCTTTCCATCAATCTGCAATAGGATAAATTGCAACATGAGTTAGTTTGTAAATTGATCAGGGAATTATTCCTTTTGCACTTGTATGTTATGCATAGTGTTGCATGCCAGTTGTTCAATTTGAAATAATTCTATGGTTTTCTAAATATTTAATATCAACACTGATTAAAAAGCTTTTTAGCATAGGGTCATTTTTCAGACTACATTCTGCATTTAATCAATTTGAAAATTTCACTCAATATGATATTAATATTTACAAATCCTGTTATGATTGCAGCTCATTGACAATGACAACTCCTAAGAGACTGAGAGATCTCATCCGAGAAATTCGCTCAGCCAGAACAGCTGCAGATGAGAGGGCAGTGGTGCAGAAGGAGTGTGCGGCCATCCGTGACTCCTTTAGGGATCAAGATAATACTTACAAATGTCGAAATTTAGCCAAGTTACTGTATATTCATATGTTAGGATATCCTGCCCATTTTGGCCAGGTAAAAATATTTACCTCTCCCTATCATTTACCTGTTTACCTTTAATTCATATGTAAATTAGAAAAGATTTTTAAGTCTAATCAACAATTTTTTAGAATGATTTTTTCTGAATTTGTACAGAGTATTCAGATACAATGTTTTTTTTAATAGTTGGAGTGTATGAAACTGATAGCCTCCCCCAAGTTTACAGATAAGAGGATAGGTTACTTGGGTGCCATGTTGTTATTGGATGAAAGACAAGATGTCCATCTGCTGGTCACCAATTCACTGAAAAAGTAGGTCGCTTTTGTTATATAACAAGTAGATTATTGGTGTATAACAATTTTAAGTGGAATAGTATTTATCTCAGTGTCCACACTTAACACAACATTTCCTTATTCATGTGTATAGTAGATATTAAGGAAGTTTTATTTGATTCATGAGAAATAAATTTGAGTCTGTTTTGAATGTATTAACAACATCTAATATGTTATGAAAATGAATGCTACAGTGACTTGAACCATCAGACCCAGTATATTCAGAGTTTAGCACTATGTACACTTGGAACAATTTGTTCAGTGGAAATGAGCAGAGATTTGGCAGGAGAGATTGAAAAAATGATAAAGTCTTCAAATGCCTACATCAAGAAAAAGGTCAGTCATCAATTTGTTCATTCAAATGTTTTATTTTCAATTAATCAATGCAAAATTACATGGAAATCTAGATTTGATATTTTTGCTACATTTTAATTTAGTTATTAAATGAATGCTGTGAATATTTTTACTTCTTTTCTGGGAATATATTACATTTTTTTTTGACAGCAGATTGTCAAAATACAAATATCGGGTATAATTGGAAGTTTACTTAAAATATAATGTATTTTTTTCATTTTGTGAGAATCTTCTCACCCAGTGACTTTATATTTTTGCAGGCTATCCTTTGTGCCCTTTGCATCATCCGTAAAGTGCCAGACCTGATGGAGATGTATATTCCGGCTACACGTTCCCTTCTGAACGAGAAGAATCACGGAGTCCTGCTGACGGCTGTATGTTTGATCACAGAGATGTGTGAGAAAAGCCCCGACACTCTACATCACTTTAGAAAGGTGAGTGAACTAAATCCAAAGCAAAGTACAAGAAAATGTCGAAATTGAAATGCTCACTTTTTCTCTGTACATATTTAAATATATTATTTCATACAACTGTAATTTTCTAGACTACGTGTTAAGGAATGACTTTGATATATTTTATGTGAAGTCCACTTTTGTTGACATTGCATAGAAATATGAATACAGATTTTTAGTTCCTTTGATAAAAACTTTGGTAAGTAATTCAAATCATGAAAGTTTTTTTAAATAATTTTTCATTTCTGAGGAAGGAAGCAGTTTGAGTATTATAGCAGGAATGCTGATGACTTATTTTACTGCAGGTGGTTCCTATGCTTGTACGAATCCTCAGGAATCTCATTATGGCCGGTTATTCTCCTGAACATGATGTGTTTGGTGTCAGTAATCCCTTTTTGCAGGTATAGCTCTCTATTTCTTCCTTACTGCATGAGCTGTCTAAATTATTTTCAGGTGGTTCCAAATTTGGTCCGAGTTCTCAAAAACTTGATCATGGCCGGTTATTCCCCAGAACATGATGTGTCAGGGGTTAGCGACCCATTTCTACAGGTATAAAACAAGCGTGTTGTAGTTAATGCTTTCCGGGTTTCTGGCACAATGATGACACCTAACCTCTGCTATTGGATTTCTCTGTGTGAATATTTTTCACTGAAATCATTTCTTCTCCTCTCTACTCCTGCCGTAGACCATTGATATTATAGTTAGTTAGTGTTTAGGTAGGGAAAACACAGTTGATGATTGTATACGGGGTACATTGACAAATTATGGGTCACACTGAAATGCATATATATATGTCCATATTTTTGGCACTTAAAGTTTTGAATTTGGTATGCAGAAATACATGAATCAGAAATTGTATTCCAGTTTATGTCCTATTATTTCTGAAATCATGATAAAAAAAATTTATATACTTTTAACTTTGCTTGCTTTTGTGGTTTTTAATAATAATTTGGAGGATATTTTTCTAGAAAATTATTTTAAAACTTAAAATGTATGTAGAGATAGGTCTAGACAGTTTTTACCAGGATGCTTTCCAATTATTGCTTCAGTATATAGATGAATAAGATAATTACTAATGATAATTGCAGAATATGATTAGATAATATAGCTTTACTCAACCTTTAAATCTGACTTCAGCAGTGCCTTTTCAATGATATCTTAACTACATAAAGGACCATAGCATGGCAACACTTTTGCATGTTAAGATGACATTTTAAAAATACTAACAAGTGAAAATTATCATCTTATTAATTGTTGTTTCTTTATTTTGGACTGCATGAGCAACAGAGTACACAATTGTAGCTAGGTATTTTTGTTTGGATCTTCTTTTTAATATAATATTGTGCATGTCACTCACTGTAAACAGAGTTTGTTGTACATGTTGCAGGAAAGTTTTTATGTGACATATTAATTGATGCTATTCTATGTTGAATGATAAGAATTGAGTTTAAATTTGCTGTGTACAAAAGTATCTTCAACTAATTTTTTTTAAAGAATTGAGCATGCTAAATTGAAAAAACATGAATGTAATTTAGATGTATAGGTAAAAAAGCCAGCTTTTCAGACTGGTTGTATTAAGAAATATAGTATGTTATTTTAATTGTTTATACCTCCTTATTGATCAGGTAAAAATCCTTCGATTGCTGCGAATTCTAGGAAAGAATGACACTGATGCTAGCGAGACAATGAATGATATTTTAGCACAGGTAGGTTCAACTTCTCTGCTCTCTAAAGGGGAAAAGATTACTTTTGTTTGCCTCGAACTAGATAAATATGTATTGTTAATGTACCGATTATCTTTGAAAGAAAATTCATGAAGTACATGTACCTGTGTACCTTTTGTTTATTTGTTTGTGAATAAATTTACAGTTGTAAATATTTTTTATTTTCTTTCAGGTTGCCACCAACACAGATACGAGTAAAAATGTTGGCCATGCCATTCTGTATGAAATTGTCCTAACTATCATGGGGATCAAGTCAGAAGCTGGGCTGAGAGTATGATGAAAATGTTTATTATTTATATATGCTGGCAATGAAAAATCGAAGTTTAATATTCTTTCCTATAAATACATGTGTATATGTTACAAGTAAACATCATGATTGTGTCTTAGACTTTCAAAAAAAATATGGATAGGTTGTATTCATGTGTATTTTAAAGCTTTTAAATGCAAGGTAGAAAATTACATTGTTAGCCGTCGAATAAATATCTGAGCAAATATTTCAATAATTTTTTTTTTCTTTTCAATTTACTACATGTACATGTATTTATATTTAAATACTTGTGTTTATGATTGTTTCTTATTTATATGTAATTATTATCGGACAAAGACAAACTCTGTATTCATACTTCTGAGACTGTAATCGTATGGACTGCAATAAGTTAATTTGTATATTTGTATATATATAATTATATGTATCTGTACTTAATATCTAGAAGGCCCTGGGGAAGAATAGTGCATGCACTAACCAGGTTACCTTCTTTAAATAAAGTATTATTATTATTATTATTATTATTATTCATTTCCATTTACTTTTTATACAGGTTTTAGCTGTCAATATTCTTGGAAGATTTCTTCTTAATAATGATAAAAATATAAGGTAGGTGGCATTCTATGTATATAATTGTTTCAAAATTCAACAATTAGTTAATCCTGTAAATGACTAGATATATTAAGTGTTAAAATTGCATTTTGATTTGTAAACCTTGATTATAAATCAAACTTTATAAAAATTAACCACCACTCCTTCTTGCAAAGATATGTGGCATTAAACACACTCCTGAGGGTTGTACATGCGGACTACAATGCAGTCCAGAGACACAGAACAACCATCATGGACTGTCTGAAGGACCCAGATGTTTCTATAAGAAGGTCAGTTTTCTCGGAAAGTAAGCATACAAAGCTATTTTAACACATAAAATCTCCCACATGGTAGTCTTTACTAATTTATTTGCCACCCCTTTATGGGAAAAGAGAAAGAATTGTCGCGAGACTTTCAATATCGTATAAGTAGAATTTTTAGCGAGGATTTAATTTTGGCATTATTAGCGAGGGTGCTGAGATCGCCAAAATTGAATATCGCTAAAAATTAATCACGTTTTATTTTTAATAGCAATCTGATTAAAATCAGGTCCTTTGATCCACTCACATCGATCGCTACACAAGGATGTGAAGAAACCCCATTCATACATATATATATATATATATATAACCTTATAGCCATGTGATAAAGTAAAGTGTATTCATTAGAAATGGCCTTCAGATGTTGTATTATTATCCTGTATATTGTAGACGTGCCATGGAACTCTCATTTGCCCTAGTCAATGCAGGAAACATAAGAGCAATGATGAAGGAACTGTTACAGTTCTTAGAAACTTGTGACCCGGAGTTCAAAACAGACACTTGTTCCAACATTGTCCAGGCTGCAGAAAAGTAAGTTGTGGCACTGTTAGGTAAGGAAATTTGTATTGATAAACTTTTCCAAGAAACAATTCATAAACTTTCTTTCAGCGAAATAAGATAGAAAAGATTCACTTGCGTAGGCTCCTAATATTTGACCTTTGTTGCCTTGTAGATACTCACCAAACAAGAGATGGCATATTGATACTGTCATGAAATTGCTACGCTTGGTAATTTTTCATTTTTTGTAGTGAAATATCTAGTTTCAACTTGAATAACAACGAACATTAAAAATCTGTAAATAAATGTCAGAAAGTATTGTAAATGCAATTGATAAAAAGGTGATATGCTGACATTTTATTTTTTCCTGTTTTGCAGGCAGGGTCCTATGTTAGGGATGATGTAGTTTCCATACTAATCCAGCTGATAGCTGAGACTTCAGAGCTTCACAATTACACAGTACAACAACTGTTCCTTATGATCAAAGACGACATTACCCAGCCACCCTTGGTTCAGGTGGCCCTGTGGTGTATAGGAGAGTACGGGGAGAAACTTATCTCAGGTGTTTGTGAAGAGGACGAAGCCATTCAGGTATGTCTTAGAATCTACATTGTATATTTAGTACATTTAAAGCTCAATGGTACAAAGTCTGTCAGAAATTATGCTATCCACCAGACTTTCATGTTTGAATTAAGTACATTTCAAAGTAATTATTTGTCCTATCTCACAGAAGACTTCTATCAAGATGTCGATGTAATCCTCGATTTGTTGATGTATATTTCTTTGTAAATGTACCTTGTAAAGTTAAGATCAGCTTGAGGAAAAATGTAGGATAAACTGATTAAATCAATTAAACAATCCAAAATTGTGACAACAATAGCCAGAAAAAATTACATGATAAACAATAATAGTCAGTTGAATTGATATATGCAGGTGTCTGAGGATGAAGTGATTAATGTAATGGAGAAGGTCCTAACACATAACTACTCCACAGAAGTTAGCAGGGAATATGCACTGACATCTTTAATGAAGCTCAGTTCCCGCTTTAGAACTTCAGCTGGGTAAGATAAGTTCACCAGTATCTAATATTACTCAGCTTAAGGAGACTCATTATACCCAAAGTTTATTACATTTTTCATCACAGCACCACTTATTATGTAGATTTTAAATATTTAAATGAAAACTATGATACCATAGGTATTCTTTTTGTTAAATGTTTTATTTCAAGTTTGTTATTAATAGAAATACAGAAATTTCAGTGTCAAGTGATGGATATCTCCTTCAGACATGTAAAGAACATAACAAAACTTCATAATATTCAATATTATTTTCATTATAAAAATTATTTTTCTCCAAAAAACAATCAGTGTGATTTTCTTCTTAATCACTGTATGAATAATTTGGAAAATCAGTTATAAATAGACAAGAAATGTATACCATAATACCATAATAAAATGTAACAAATGAAGAATGTTTTAAAAAATTGGTATAAAAAGTCCACTTGCAAGAGTTATCTTTCCTAATTCACCCAGACTCTTGAACATCTAAAATTCAGAATAAAGTTAACATTTCTAAAATACATAGAACTTCGGTATCTCATACACTGATATCTCAAATACCATGGAAATGTCGAAGTGATTTGGAAGTCCCAGCCCCTTATTCTTTAAGTATTTTACCCTGAATATCTCGAATTATCAGATATCTCGAAGTTTTTTCTCGGTCCCATTGAGTTCGAGATGAAGAGGTTTGACTGTATAGTTTCTAAGAAATAAAGAAAAGTATTTAAATCAGCAAGAGTGCTGTATTACCTGAGTCCATTATAATTTATTTCAACATTGTAGATTTCAGCTCAAATTCCTCCATATGTACATTGTCAATAGAAGAATTTGCTGTGTTCCCTATGACATTGAACATTACTTGTGTAGTGAAGATATGACTGTCTTTTCTTTGGTCTTGGCTTGAATACAATCTTTCTTCGTTTATGATTTAAAGTGAATCTGTTACTATGTTTTCAGTGTTTATATGATAATAGATTGCATGTTTAGTTTATTTTTAAAGCATTTTAAAAAGATTTAGATCATTAATATACTGAACCTGTACAATTCATCCCCAAAGGAAAAAATGACAAAACAATGGAGGTTTATTTTTTTGTATAGTACGTCTTCAGAAAGTGGTATTATGAGATACCTTAATTTTATAAACTGATTTTCTGATTAAGATATTCAAAGTAGTGATAATTTTTTTTAGAAGATTGATTTAATGTTATATTATTTTCTTCATTAAAGGAGAATCAAGGCTGTGATAGACGCATACGGTGGTTCCACACATGTGGAACTGCAACAGAGATCTGTAGAGTACTCCAATATTTTTTCCAAATATGATAATCTTAGGTAAGTTTGATTTGTATTGCTGCATACTTTTAAAAAAATTTAAAACGGTAATAACTGTAAGCAAGATATTAAACAAAAATAAACATTCTGACTGAGTATGGATACGGGAGTTTATTTTTTAATTTATTTTAATTTTTTTGGTTAATTTTCAATTTCCAGATCAGCTCTATTAGAACCTATGCCATTGATAGAAGGTAGCAGAAGCAAAAATGTTTTAGCCAATAGTGAAAGTTCTTCTGATTTACTTAATGAAGAAAGTATTCCTAATGGGATGGTGAACGGTGCAGAGAAAGCCAAAAATACACTTAATACAGAAGTAAGTGCTCCTGTGTACTCAAGTGGAAGTAGGCAACTGTGTCTTGTTTTTCAGCATTTGAAATAATTCAAAACATTTAGTGTAGCTTGTGTGCATATTTAAAGGCTTTGAATTCTATAGTATTATTATATATGAATCTCAAACTGAGATTACTTTAAATAGAAATTGTTTATTTTTAGAGCCAGAATATATTAGACTTACTAGATGTAGGCACTCCAGCTGTAACTTCTACAAACCCAGCCCCAACACCTGCTGGTGGTGCAAATGATCTGTTGGATCTTTTAGGCGGTGTAGCTTCATTATCAAATCCAGGTACACAACAATTTTGAGAAATCAAAATATAAAATGCTTAACATTTGACCTCAACAGTTGTACAGAATGAGGATATTAATGTTGTTATTCACAAACACAGATGAAATGCATGTATGAATGTGTATGTCAATGTTTTGATGATGTTTTTAGCTCCACCTATGAAGCAGACAAGCACTCCAAATGTAATGGATGATTTGATGGGAGGAGATGGTGAACCTTTCAACCAAATCAATGGCAATGATGGTACATGTACTAGTAATATTTGATACTTATAAAAGTATAAAATGTAAATTAAACTTGTATGATTTTTTTCACTTTTGAAGTATTGTATATCATATGGTAGTTTCAGATTCTTAAAATATATGAAAATCTTTGTGGTAGGTCCACATGGTCTTACAGCCTATGACAAGAATGGTCTTAAGGTGGAGTTGACCTGTGAGCGAGACAATGGCCAGCCAAACGTAACAATTATCAATGTCAAATCCTCCAATTCTACAGCTTCAACAATGTCTGACTATGTATTCCAAGCTGCAGTTCCCAAGGTTTGTGTGACAGTATCAAAGTGTGAAAACTGCTTATTGTGTTTCAAATTCCCTTACATATATAAGGTTTGAGTTTGGGAAAGTGCTATAAATGAAATGTTAACGTTGACATAATAGATGAAAATCATAAGATTTTAAATGACAACTTGTCAATTTTTCTCTTAGTCATTCCAGCTCCAACTGCAGTCACCGTCAGGGTCTACTCTGCCACCAATGAATGATGGGATAGTTACTCAAGTTATCAAAGTCAACAACCCACAGAAAGTAGGTTCTTGTATCTTAAAAAAAATTCAGCATGATTAATGATAAAAAATGCTGTTCTGTAATTTAAATGGCAAACTTACCAGCCAGTGCATAAATTGCCAAAACCCTGGCCTGTAATGCTTTGAAATTCTAAAAATGTTACTGTATACAGGGCTATTTTCGCTCTTTCACACTTGCAAACAATTTTGTCCTGTTTTAAATTCGCCCATCACAGTTCTGTTTAAGAAATTTTATATTGTTTCTTTGAACTCATCCCGTCTTAAATTCGCCCACTTGTGTTTAGGGTAAAAGTAAAAATAAAGGTGAAAATTTCCTTGTATACAGTAAAACCTTGTTCTCTCCCAGGGACCAACCTAGACCCAAAATTTAGGGAGACTTCACTTCTCCCTCAGAGAAATGTAGGGAGAAGTGTTGAATTCTAGGAAGACTTCTTGGTGCGCGTGGTGCACATTGATCATTATTAAACTTTTTAAAAATAAAAACATTTTATTGTTTATTACTTAAATATATTTCAATCATTTTTTCTGTATTGTTTAAACATCCTAGTAAAAATAATTAAAAAAGAGAAAAAAAGATTCTTTTTAAAAATATATATATATATTTCCAATTACAAGGTATATAAATATCTAGCAAAAGATATAAAACAATGACAATGTAAAAGTTTCTAATTGATAAACTTGTTTATCAAACTTCTTTTTCATTTCTTGCATAGTATGCACAATTAACTTTTAAATGATTGACACGTTTTTCTCCTCTCAGGGTTAGATTTTCAGGCTCTTGGCATGTCATAATTTTGTTATTTTCCCTTCAAAATTCGTTTTCAATATTAAATTCTTTTTCTAAAAAAAAGTTTTGATGATCTACTGCATGCTGATTGAACTACTTATGTTTATCAGACATGTGTAATTTCTTAGACAGTTAATAACTCCACAATTAAACAGTAAAAATATGTCTGTATTCACAGCATGTATTAATTATTTGACAATAAAAAGATCTAAAATCATCTCCAACATCTTTGGCATGACATCGATAGCTGCCCAGCTATTTTGTGTCTTGTGTATAACTTGTAACAATGGACTTTTTCATACATGGAAGCGTAAAATTGAGAGGAGTTCCGACAGAGTATTCGATGCAATGGTCATTAGTACATGTAGTGCAAAACAGGTGCAAGTGCCCTGCTGTTTCACTTATTTCAGCAGTAATAAAACCAGATTTATGAAATAGTGACGATACTACCACGTTTCTTAATAGATTTTTTATGATTTTCAATAAAAGGGTTGCAAATGTTAAGGCAACTTAAACTTCTCTTTCGTGACAAATTATGGCGAAGTTTGGAGCTCAAAAGCGGCTATTTCGCCTCAGTAGTTGGAAAATAGCTCTGTAGATGGAAAATAGCTCTTGTAGTCGGAAAACAGCTCTTCAGAGCTAATGTTTTTTATTTGATTTACTCGACTTTAAATAAATATTATCTTATCTTATCAGTCGCCACCTAGGTTGATCCTTGCTCACCAACTCGACAGGACCAAGATTAAACTTGGAGATATCCAAGGAATTGAAATAACTAGGTTAAAAAGCAAAGAAAAAAAGGGGGGGGGGCCAAATCACTTTGACATATCCCTGGTATTCAAGATATCAGTGTTCGAGATTATGGATTTTAACTACTTGGTATTTCCTGAAATGTAATGTTTTGGTTTGCCTGATGTGTAATGCTTTATAATCTTTCAAATGTTATACTTTGTATCTCCTGAAATGTTTTGTAATTCCTTAATTCTTATGTTTTGTAATTTTATTGCAGCAACCTATAAGGTTAAGGATCAAAGTGAGCTATAAACAGAATGGAAACAGTGTCACAGACGTTGGTGAAGTCAATTCATTTCCATCAACATTATGGCAGTGATGTTGATAGACTACAGAAATAATATCTACAGTAGAAAAAGGATTTTCTATTGGGAACAAGAACTCATTTTTACATCTACACACACAGCATTCCACTAGTGTATGGTGGTGAAAATAGACCAAAAAAAACTTACCCAAAGGGTATTATGTTGCAGAGATGATCTATTCATAATAATGGCTACATTTTGATTAGAATTGTAGTCAAAACTGAGTGCAATACTATGAAGTGCTCTCCAAGATGAAAACTGTGATTTAGTTGGAGGCATCTTCGGAGGGCAAAGTTGGATTCCAAACTGTGTGTGGAGGAAGAATATCCTGTTCCGAGGCCAAGAGCTCTTTCTGTAAAGCTGATCTGTACTTTGGAAGAGTGAGGAGATCCTGATTATACAGTGCTGTGAGATAGATGAAATATATTGTCAAAAACATTGCTATTTATTTACCATGTTATCATTCCAATGAAATCTTGTGATTGTTAATCTATTATTATTTTTGCTATGAGTGTAACGTGACAAGTCATGGATGACGTGAATACATGTGCAAGTTGTGTTTTATTCAACACAAGACTGTTTTGGATTGAATGTGCTTAAAACTATTTTTGTGATATCATAGTGGAAATCTAGTGGAAGCACCCCAGGTTGCATAATTTTCTATTATAGTAAAGAATTTACATGTAATTTGCTATGATTTCTTGTATGAGGCAGAGGTCAGTGTGGATTTAGTCATTTTAGTGCTTGATGTAAAGAAATATTTGACAGAGTAGAGTGGTATGAGATTGAACAAAGTGCTCAAAAGCTAAGTGAACTTCTAAGTGTAGTGTTTTAAACAGAAATTGGTTCAATATGAAGTAAACATCTCCTCCATCCCATTGGCTCAGCTTTCAACAGTGTAAAGTAATAACAATGTTAGTTTTTTTTCCAAAGTGTGAATGCTTAAATACCATTACTAAACAAAATTAAGAACTCTGGCTTTATAATAATTACATGCAAACATGGACATTAAAAATGACAAATTTTAATATACTACATGTCTAAAATATTGTGAACCACCCATCATACATATTTGTTGCATTTTTGCTGACAATTGTAAAGGTTTGCGACTTTATTCTGAAGCACAAAAATTTCTTAACATTAAAATGGAATTTAGGGGTATTATTTTCCTAGCAAAACACCTCTATGTAACGGTACACATTGGTAACCAGATTATAAAGGAAATATACCTAATATATCAGGTGTTTGTAATTATGAAAAACAAATTTGAGGTGTACCAGGTATATAATTATGAATGTAACAAATTTGATGATTAATTTTAATTAATATGTGAGAAGTCTATGTTTTGGAAAGATGGCATGAGGCATTCCTTATTTAGAAAAAAGCATGTGTTCTTCCATTTTCATAATTTTGTATTCATCTTTTGATGTGAATTTTAAATGGATCTTCAGAATAATAGGATAGGTAATGATAAATGTTCAATAGATCGAAAAGGGAGGACTAGATGTACAAGAAAACAATGGCATATGTAATAGGAAACAGAGAGCATAAAACAATTCATTATAAGGCAAAAACGACCTGTATATTTTTTGCATTCGAAAGTACCAGTGGTTTACAAAATGCTAATTTCCAGGGGTGATTCATGATTTACTTTTTTTGTCACATTAAAAATGAGGCAAGATAGTTTTTATTGGTTGCTCATTTCCAAGCACCTGCTTCATCAATGGAGTTTTAGGTAGCCAGACAGTCGAATATTGATATTGAATGGTTTGACTACCTTTTCTTAGAGTGCAATTTTGTTCTGTATTTATACACGTCATGAACAAACTTGTTCTGTTCATTGCCAGAGAATTCTGTTGTATGCACAGGAATGTATATGTGAAAGGAAGTGTGTTAATTACCTGGTATTAACAGTGAAATATAATTAGGATCAATCTTCTGCTTTAAGATTTGCATTTGAATCTGACAGTATTTTAAAAGATGAATGTAAATTTCTAGGATCTCTTGATTGGATTTAAACATGCTATTATTACTACATATATACTACTCCTTGATATCAAATTCATGTATCTTTCCGTCCTATCTGAATTTGTTTAATGCATATCTTTAACAGTGTAAGCTCAAAAAAAGTACATATACTTGGGTTTTAGAGGTTGCACAAGCTTTTTCATTAGTAGAGTCTATGAAGCCTGACTTTAATTCATAAAGTTATTATTTGAATTTAATTGGGCAGAGGCCTTGCAAAAGTAACAAATTTTTCAAACTATATTGTGAATGAATGCAATGTACTGGATATTTCTCTTGTGTTTTGTATGATTGGGGATGGATTTAGAACAAGTTTTTCATGACCTCAAACCCTACAGGCTTTTAGAATCCATCTCAGTAACTTGATCAAGTGGTATTACTTTGTATCTGATAGTACTCTCCAAAGTAATAAAGCATATAAATTCACTTATCATTTGTTTCTGTAAACAGTATTTGAAATGAGGTGCTTCCATAGTTTGTTGAACTCATTCCTTTATCAGCCAAGAGGAAGAATTTGTATGTGTTCTCCCAAGTTGAGAATCATCTCGCCATCTACCGGACTTTTCAAAACAAAGGGCAGGGACATTGCTTTCATCAAAGCTTCGTAATAGATGAATGAATGAAAAAACGGTATGCATGGAGAAGAGACTGTATCATGTTTGCCCATTATTTTGATTTTTTTAGCTCACCTGAGCCGAAGGCTCAAGTGAGCTTTTCTGATCGAAATTTGTCCGTTGTCTGTCATCGTTGTCGTTGTCGTAAACTTTTCACATTTTCATCTTCTTCTCAAGAACCACTGGGCCATTTTCAATCAAACTTGGCACAAAGTATCCTTGGGTGAAGGGGATTCAAATTTGTTCTAATGAAGGGCCACGCCCTTCTCCAAGGGGAGATAATTACAAAATAGCGAAAAATTAATGGCATCATTGAAAAATCTTCTTCTCAAGAACCAATGGGCTAGGAAAGATGAAACTCATATGGAATCATTGTCAGGTGGTGTAAATTCAAATTTGTTCAAATCATGACCCCCGGGGGTAGGGTGGGGTCACAATGGACGGTCAAAGTTTAACTTAGGAATATATAGGAAAAATCTTCAAAAATCTTCTTCTCAAGAACAGCAAAGCTATGATTGGTCATATTTATATGAAAGCATCTGCAGGTGGTTTATATTCAAGTTTTTTCAAATCATGACCCCTGGGGGTAGGGTGGGGCCACAATGGACGATCGAAGTTTTACATAGGAGTATATAGGACAAATCTTCAAAAAATCTTCTTCTCAAGAACAGCAAAGCCATGGTTGGTCATATTTATATGGAAGCATCCTCAGATAGTGTAGATTCAAATTCTTTCAAATCATGACCCCCTGGGGTAGGGTGGGGCCACAATGGACGGTCAAATTTTTACATAGGAATATATAGAAAAAATCTTTAAAAATTTTCTTCTTAAGAACAGCAAAGCTATGATTGGTTATATTTATGTGAAAATATCCTCAGGTGGTGTGGATTCAAATTTGTTCAAATCATGAACCCCAGGGTTAGGGTGGGGCCACAACGGACGATCAAAGTTTTACATAGGAATATATAGGACAAATCTTCAAAAAATCTTCTTCTCAAGAACAGCAAAGCCATGGTTGGTCATATTTATATGGAAGCATCCTCAGATAGTGTAGGTTCAAGTTTGTTCAAATCAATAACCCCAGGGGTAGGTGGGGCTACAATGAAAGTTGAAACTTGTAGGGGAAAAAGTCACAGTCAAAAAAAAATATGTAAGCATCCTTAGTTAGTGTAGATTAAATTTTGTTCAATTCATACCCCCCCCCCCCCACTCCCTTTTAGGGGTAGGTTGGGACCACTTATGTATTTAAGATTTTCAATACTAAACTGATTTTTGCTTTTTTCCTAGCCACAGTGCTCAGGTGAGCGATGTGGCCGCTGGGCCTCTTGTTTTAAATTAACATGCAAAATATGTGAGAATTCGCCAAGAATTTGATGCCTTTTAGATGGCCCAATTTATCGCCATGGCCCTAGGAAAAGTGAGAATGAAAAGTAAAAGTTTATGACTATTCACTTAGTTTGATTGTACTGGATTATCTTACCTGAGCCAAGGACTCGAAGCATCTTTGGTGAATTGATGGTATTCAAGTAAGTTGAAAACTCTCCTCAAGTAACACTGGACCAGAACAGACAAAGTGCTATTAAATGTATATTCAAGTTTTAGTTGGGCTACGATTGTCAAAGTTTCCTAAGTTCAGACCATAATCATTCAAATGAATAACATTCTCATTTAGTGTAAATCTATGAGGTATCTTAAAATCATCTCCTAGGTTGCAGACTATATAAATGGGTAGTCAAGTTTAGTGAATTTCTTGTCAAAACAGCAGCATGAGCAGGGCTATCATTTATTCAAATTATTATTCAACAATTTCTAGAAATTCAATTTTATTAATTTATGGTCATACCTGGTTAAATTAAAGCACTGAAATATAGAGATTCTTTCAGGAACAATTTTGTGAACTTGACACCATTCATCTTGAAGAGAAAGATTACTCGGTTAAGCGTTGTCTCCCGTGGGCTTCTTGAACTAAACGACGAACTAAAACAATTAATGTTGCATTTTTTTCTTGGTATGTTGTTTAACGTCCTTCTCGAGAATTTTTCACTCATATGGAGAGGCCACTACTTGCCGGTGGAGAGCTGCAAATTTTGACCTATACTCGACACTCAGGGCCATTGAGCAGCGAGGGATCTTTTTCGTGCCAGCATCTACTGCGACACGGGACTTCAGTTTATACGGTCTCATCCGAAGGACCGGTCTTCACGTCCCACAGTGTGATTCGAACCCGCGATGTAAGGACCAATTCCTTCGCGACTCTAGAGCAAACGCTCTAATCACTGCGCCACGCGGGAGACTTACAGTATTTTACATGCAATATAAAAGTTAGTAATGGGCATCTTTTATTGTCAATTTCAAAAATAAACATGTTTTGGAAGGATAGACAAAATTATTGGCAACAGTTAGCAGTCTGGCGTGGGTAGATCTATTATCTACGTTTAAAGTCATATCATTGATTGAGATCGATGAAGGAGTTGGGTATACCCGGAAATTATACTTCCGCAAAGATAACCGTTCAAAACGAAACCAAACTGTAATACAAAATTAGAAGGTAAGTTTTTTTAATTCCCTGCAGAATATGACAGAGTAAATTTTTCACGTGTAGTTCCATAACCTAGTTTTTTTTAACTACAGTAACTATAAGCGTCTTGTAGTACGTGTAATTCAGAATCTAAGATTCCAAAATCTGAAGAAAAATTGTTGGTACATTTACTCCAAGTATTCGACATTTTCCAATTCATTTAAAAATTTGTCACATCAACGTAAACAATACTAACTCCGACAATGTTTTTGGTAGAGTATTCTGTTTATTCAGGGTCGTTTCTTTCTTTTCTTTTGATTCTTGAAGATTCTTTGCTGGTTCATGGCGGGACTCCGTGTGGTACGGGGACCGGACTGGGACCAAGGGGACAGTGATGGCGGGGAGGGACATTTAGGGACGGTTGTGGGCGTCATTGAGAAGGAGGTTGTCGTAAATGTGGTGTGGGACATCGGGAACATTACAACTTGCCGGATCGGAAAAGACAAGAAATATGATCTGAGAGTGTTCGATAATGCCTCCATTGGTCAGTATTTCGTAAAATGTTGATCATGCGCAATATTCTGTTCATAATTTTTATGAACGTACAGATTCATTATTTGTACAGACCTAACGTACAGATTCATGATTTCTGAGCCTTGAAATTTCGACGTAATTGTGATTTTCTTCAATCTAATTAAAATTAGATGTTCCGAATCCGCTACCGCTTCTCAAACATCTAACAACATCCCATTCGGGGTCACGTCAGAGCGACCTTTCGATTACCCAATGAAATCGCCGTCGTCGAAATCTTGGCTTATAGTTCGGATGCGATTCTTTTTTTTTACTGCCAAACCTAAACGCCCGAGGGGTTTCGTAGTAAACAAAATATGCATGGTGAAGACCGTGCTATATATGAATGTGACGTGCGGGATATATAGTAGTTTGTGCATTTTCGTTTGCGTTATTCAGGTAAGAATGCCAGACTGGCGGACTATAGTTCAATTTATACCAATATTACTTTAATTCATCGTAAGACAGTCTACTGAGCATCAATAATGTAAAGAAGTAGCCGTGGAACTAATTTTAGAATTGTATACAGAAGGTTGAATCTGATTGGCCAAAATTTTTATGTTTATTCGTAATCGAAAGGTCGCTCTGACGTGACCCCGAATGGGATGTTGTTAGATGTTTGAGAAGCGGTAGCGGATTCGGAACATCTAATTTTAATTAGATTGGATTTTCTTTAAAATTGGATATTGATAAAAATGGAACTCGTAAATTTACTTACCTTGTCACTGGTCATTTGCAAAATTATTTTATTAAAAAAAACCATTTTGATTTTACACACAAGTACTCTAAGTTGATATTAAAAAAGACGCTTAATTGAGATTCTGATTGATAACATCTATGTGGTTTATGGAGACCAGATCTTCCAACAATCTGTTGGAATTTCCATGGGTACCAATTTTGCTCCGTTATTAGCAGACCTAATTTTGTATTCATATGAAGCGGAATTTTTTCAAAATCTTATACATGAGAAAAAGAAATCTCTTGCTGTGGCCTTCAACTCGACATTTAGATTGGCCTTCAACTCGACATTTAGATACTAGTATACCGAAGATGTTTTATATATCAACAATAGTTATTTCCATTCATATGTCGACACGATATATCTCAGTGAGCTTGAAATAAAAGGTACCTCAGAGTCTGACACTTCTGTTTCATGTTTAGATAAATTAGTAGAGAAAGACGTTAATGGTAATCTAACAACAAGAGGCCCATGGGCCTTGAATCGCTCTTCTGATAAACTGTGCAACCTATCACTTCTATTTGAACCCTCGAAGTATCCTGTATATTCAGATAAACCCTTGAAATTCCAATTCACACTCTGAGAACCCAAGATGATTCTAAGCCAATTAGTACCTGAGAGTTGGTCATGGTGACCTACTTATCACTTGTCATTCTCTAAAGACCCATCAACTAAGTTTGATGATTCTAAGCCAATTAATACCTAAAATATTTCTTAAAATTATAACCATAAAATTTTATAAGTAGGTCAAAGTGACCTACTTTTCAATTGTTGTACTCCAAGGACCCTAGATGCATCAATTGACAAAGTTTGATGATTTTAAGCCAATGAGTACCTGAAATATTTAATTAAAGCCATAAATTTTCAAAAGTAGGTCACAGTGACCTACTTTTCAGTTGCTGTACTCCAAGGACCCAAGACACATGAACTGACAAAGTTTTATGATTCTAAGCCAATTAGTACCCGAAATATTTAATTAAAGCCATAAATTTTTGCAAGTAGGTCACGGTGACCTACTTTTTAGTCGACCTACACCGAAGACCCAAAAGTCATCAACTGACAAAGTTTGATATTCTAAGCCAATTAGTACCCCATATATTTAATTAAAGCCAAAAATTTTCAAAAGTAGGTCACTGTGACCTACTTTTTAGTCGACCTACTCCGAAGACCCAAGATGCATCAACTGACAAAGTTTGATGATTCTAAGCCAATTAGTACCTGAAATATTAAATTATAGTCATATAAATTGAAAAGTAGGTCACGATGACCTACTTTTCAGTTGACCTTTTTTGAGGACCCAAGATGCATCATCTTACAAAGTTTTATGATCATAGAACTTAAAATGTCCAAATTATGCCTCTAAAACGCTTTGAAATCAAATGCCTGCAAAGTTCAAAAAGTAGGTCACTGTGACCTACTTTTTAGTAAATATGTTTTATGGCCCCAAGATGCATCATCTTACAAGATTTAATGATTTTAAACCTCTCGGTATTCAAATTAATGACCTTAATTGTTTTGAAAAAGATAAGCCATAAAATTCAAAAGGTAGGTCAAGGTGACCTACTTTTTAGTTGACGTACTTCGAGGACCCAAGGTACATCAACTGACAAAGTTTGATGATCATAGGCCTTAAATTGTTCAAAATATGCCTCTAAATCATTTTGAAAAAGAATGGCCGCAAAATTTAAAAAGTAGGTCACCATGACCTACTTTTGAGTCAACATGATATGAGGTCCTTAGATACATCAACTGACAAGATTTGATGATCCTAGTCCTTATAGTAAGCAAAATATCAACATTTTAATAAAATGTAATTTTTGGTCAACTTTGAAGTGACCTTGAGACCACGCCCTTTGCCCCAGGGTAAATTCCCGTGCAAATTTTAATCTACATATCCTCATCCTTTTGTGTAAGTTTGGTTATAATCTGCCCAGTGGTTCTTGAGAAGAAGATTTTTTAGCAACCAGTACTTTTGTTTCTATTTTCCTAATTATCTCCCCTTGTTAAAGGGTCACAACCCCAGTTTTAGTATAAAAGGGAGCCCTTGGGCCAAGGATACCTTGTGACAAATTTGACAATAATTGGCCAAGGGGTTCTTGAGTTATGGCCCATATTCTAAAAAGTTTCCGCACACCGCACAAATGGCCATAGCATTAGCTCTTTGAGCCTTTGGCTCAGAAGAGCTAATAAAGCTTTATGATAAACGCGATGACTTTAACTTTTCAATCGTCAACTTCCCTTACTTATACAGCAATATACTCTTATCACCTGCATATGGGGTGTATATCTCTCAGTTGATTCGATACGCAAAAGCATGCTCTACGTATGAACAATTTCTAAAACGAGGTAAGTTATTGACAAACAAGTTGATGAAACAAGAATATCAACAGTCTCGTTTAAAGTCTTCATTTCGTAAGTTCTATGGTCGACACAATGACCTCAGCAAATAGTATTACAATCTATCATTAAGTCATATGCTGACTGATATTTTTCATACTAATTGTTATATATGCCATTATTTATACACTGAATTGTCGACGGATTTTTCCGTTATTTTCCGATCATGACAAGGGGTGAGTGTGACCGGTCGGGAGGGGATGCTCACTCCTCCTTGGCACCTGATCCCACCTCTGATGTTTTTGGAGGTCCGTGTTTACTCTTCTCCCGATTTGTATTGTTTTAATAGACTTTTAGCTTGAATACTGTTCTTTATCTCCATATATCATTGATACTTCAATATCTGTAATTTTAAAACTGACTAAGAAATATAAAAATGCTTACAAGATTATGTTTTTCCTTTCCTTTATTTAATGCTGTTTTAAAATGAAATTTAGGAATTGTCTTTAAAAACAAGAAGTGTTCCGAATGTCAGTGGGAACTATTCTATGGGATGTGCTGGGAGTGCAAAATCTGCAAAGACACCAACCTCTGTTCCATTTGCTACTTCAGAGGCAAACACGACATGGAGCACGAATTTGTCAGATATACTATGCCAAATGCAGAAGGGTTAGTTTTCTGTAAAAATAATGTATTTACTGTTTACACACTGCTAAAATTAGATTAGATAGGAATTGGACTGTCAATGAATTAGTACAATGCCTTGTTAATTATTTCAGCATGCGAGATATGTATGTATGCAACTTATTATCTTGCATGTTGACATAAGTATCTTGCATATTAAATTGTAACTCGCATGTTGACATAAATAAGTCGCATGTTGGCATAAATAAGTCAAAAAATTGATAAAAATTAGTTGCATGTTAACATAATTATCTTCCATGTGGACATAAATAAGTCGCATGTCTACATAATTATGTTGCATGTTAACATAAATAAGTCACACGCTGACATAAATATCTTGCATGTAAAAGCAATATGAGCTGCAACTTTGATGTCAGGAATTCTTGTTGCAGTTTTGTAATTAACTATTTCAATGACAGAAAAAAAGAAACTTTATAAACTTTTATTTTTTATATTTGTGAAGGAAGAACTAATTTTAAGCTTTTATTGAAGCAAAATTACATTATTGTCGTCCTGTACAATATTGATTTCTTATATAATACTATACATTCCATTGTACAGAAATTTTTCTTCTGAAACAATTTAATACTCTATTTTAGATTAATTGATCATAAAGATTTAAGTTACATACAGATTTATCATAAAATCACATTTTAACAGCAAAATAAAATTCTCAAAAATGCAGCTCATATTGCTTTAACATAAATATTAGTAAGTCGCATGTCAACATAATTCTGTTTCATCTTGCTTGTATGATACAGACGTTAGTAAGTAAGTTTACCAACATTAAAATCAGATTCTCCAAAAAAAATTGGTAACTTGCATGTCTACATAATTATTATGCATGTAGACATAATTATTTTGCATGTTGACATACTTTTCTCGCATGTTAACACAATTTATCATGCATTTAGAAATATGCCACTATATTGATTTGATTTAGTATGTACAAGTGAATATATGTAAATTTAAAAAAAAAGATCTCTTAATAAACAATTCCACATTTGAAAATAAATTTTCATTCTCGGAAATACTGATCGAGTCAACTTCCCATAATAAAATGGTACATAGATCACCAACACTGTTGTAAGCATCTATGCAATCAGTGGATACATTTTAAACTACATTTCAAGGGGGTAAAACATTCATTTAGAGTCGATGTCCAAAAACGCTTTTCAAGTTTGGCAATGAGGTCATTTGGAATGTATCCTGGCGCCAAAGTCATCAGGGGAAAAGACTGGGAGTACGACGACCAAGACGGTATGATTTACACTGTAAAATAATCCAGACACTTCTTACCTATTCAAATCCAGTACTCATTTGATGTTCTTGTTTAAGGTGGAAGCGGAACAGTAGGAACCGTACGGGACATTCGTAGTTTCAAAAAGGACATGTCTCACCGTAACGCTGTTGGAGTCATGTGGCCATCAGGAAAAGGGTTCGTGTATCGCATTGGATACAAAGGGAAGGTGGATCTTGTTTGCAAAGAAGTGGCGAGAGGGTTTGAATATTATCGTGAACACCTTCCACTGTTAGGCAAGTAATCTGCAATTAATTCAGAAACTGGAAGCTATTCAGTTAATTTACCCATTTTTTTTAAAGAAATACGTTTAATTCGGTATGATACATGACGCAGTATGGTTAAGTTATAGCTTGCTGTGTAGTTGAGGACACGAGATTCTGATAGGTGCGGGCTTTTTGCATGCGTTGATGGTATCATACAATGGTTCTAGATGCAGTGGTGATTGGTGTTTGGCTACATATGCATAATATTTGAATATTTCAGATTTCAATTTGATTAAGAATCAGGTTAGTACTCAGTCAACTGCTGGTGTAAAAATTGGAGACCAAGTCTGCATTACCCTTTCCATAATAGAATTAAAAGAAGCACAGAAAAATTTCGGTTTTCATGACGAGATGGAAAGTGTGAGTAAATATTCAATAAAACATTAAATTAATCATAAAATGTGTGTTCCTTTTATCTAAGGTTATGAAACTTTTTAGAAAAAAAGAAGGTATGGTGTAGTATGTGTTATAAAAATAATGAATTGCAACAACTGCTGGTAAGGTTTGGATGCTGCCTTATGCATTATAATCCTTCCTTGCCTAAATATACATAACTCACTGAGCCACTTCTATAATCATAGATACATGTATCTATCGTCTTAATGCCTGTCTTACTGTCTCTTGGCTATGTTTACTTTCTACTGTAGGTATATATGTATTTGGGCCAAGTCTGGATGAGACAAAAAAGGACATTTCTTTTGAAGTATACAAGAGAAAACTTGTTTAAAATTTTCTCCATAAATTCAAACGCTATATATTTTTAAAATGTAATGTAGCCTCTGAAACGATTCCAAGTCTTTTAGCAGATTATTTTAAAATCCTTTCAAGAATTACAGCCTGATAGTGTTTCATCTCAACTTCAATATGCTTATTATTTAATGTGTTGTGATCCATGGGCCTTAATGTACTTTTAGGCCATAGGGAAACGTGGAATAATTGATGGTTTTGCAGACAACGGGGGCATTGTCGTCAGATTCCAGGACAACAAATGGGTCTTCAACCCAAAGGCTCTAAGCAAAGTACGTATATATATATATATATATATATATATATATATATATATATATATATATATATATATATATATATATATATATATATATATATATATATATATACTTACTATTTTAATAACTTCATATAATGAAAAAAGGAAATGATATACTAATATTGAAGTAGTTCGCATAATTCTTTGCAGGTTTGGAGGGTGGCCACGGGGGAGACTGTCCGTGTAAAAAATGACCAACGAAAAGTTGAAGCCCTTCAAAAAGGCCATGGAGAATGGAATCCAAAAATGTCCAAGGTACATCATATTCCAGTAAAAGATTTAAGCTAAATTTTAAACACATTGCAGATTCTGATTTTAATGGTAAAATTCTTTTAAATGCCCGTAATTTTAACTAAATGAAGCATAATGAATGAAAATCATTCAACTATCAGATACAAGTTGATGATAGATTGAAGTTTTTTTGTATCTAAGATAACGGACAATTACGAGTATTTTACCACATTTAAACCAGGTTTTGGGCAAAGTGGGTAAGATAGCAAGAATCACTCCTAAGAATGACGTAATTGTATCATTCGGGAGGAAACACTGGGTATTTAACGTGGCCTGCTTGACCCCGTGCCCTGGGGCTCAAGTTGACGAGATAGAGGAGGACGATGATCTTAGTTTATCTGTTGGTATGTAAAATTTCATTTTTTTTTTAACCAAAACTGTCTCCTTTTATTTAAGTTCGATTTTTACATTGGTTTAAAAAAAAAATTAAAAAGAAATTAACGTTAAATTAAATACTTAATACACAATAACCATACCGAATTTCTGACAAGAGAAGAAACTGTTTGAATTTTAAGTTTGGAAATAAATACACGTTCAACGATGTATATTTATTTCAGCAGCTGCTGGTTTAGCGAATGGATTGGGATTGCTTTTAGAGCAACTGCGAATATTACATGCTCAGAAAACAAGATTGTCCCCAGAACAATTTCTTAGAATGGTCGCTGATGGAGACGATAAGATGGTTTTACAAATGGTTAAAGGGGAACCAAACCTGGCAAGTATTTTTTGTCAGTTGAGAAAAAAATTAGTTGCATGATGATTTTCTTTTGTTTTACATTGTTCTATAGAATCTAAGTTTCGTCGTGATTTGTTCTTCAACCAGTGTAACATGCAAATAAAAGGAACGACTGCGTTGATTGCTGCATCATTTGAAGGGCATGATGCCGTTGTTAAGGTTTTGATTTCTAATGGAGCGAAAGTGGACCAAACGGACCAAAACGGAAACACGGCATTACTGGCTTCTGTTTCTGCGTGAGTATCAATATATATGTATACACCATTCGCGGATCTAGAGGGGAAGGGGGTCGGGACCCCCCCCCCCCCCCCCTGAAATTTGAAGCGTTATTAAAAGTATGTACTGAAGCAAATAAAAAAATGACTTTGGACCCCCCGCAGAAAACTTGGACCCCACCACAATCACCACCACGAAATAGGTTTTTTTTTTGTTTTATTTTGTTTGTTTGTTTGTTTGTTTGTTTTTTTTTTTTTTTGCTTATCAAGAAATTTCTGGGTAGAAATTTTTTTTGACTGGGGGTGGAACCCCCCCCCCCCTTGGAAAAAAATCCCTTGATCCGTGCCTGTACATAATATAATGCAGACAGATTTTAGCAAACTAGAGTTGTCCTAACGGAACTAATACTTCCCCAAAGGGTGATACTCAGAAAGTACATGTTTGAAAACTCAATACTTTACATGCATACAATTTTAAGGCTGTAAGTTTCTGGGGTTATAAATTTACATTGATTCAGGGACATTCAGTAATATGTAAAAAAAGAAAAAATGAGCCCTTACTCCTTTGCAAAATTATGACCTTATTCAAACAACCTTCAGTCTGGATCGCATTAACTGTTATTCTTTTTTCTTCTAACAAAGTATGAACATGAAATAACTTCTTATTTCTGTATGACCTTTTCTTAGTAAAACTAATCTTGTTTTAAGGGCCTAGCCACAGGCACTTGTTTCGGTATTAATTTTTTTAACCCATACTTTGAAACTTGGTATTATAATATTATACTATGGATTTAAAAATATTACCGAAACAATTAAGTGCTTGTGGTTATAGCATACTAATCCTTTGCTATCGTTGGACCAAGGTTAACAGCTATATATAGGTTACGATTTCAGTGCTTCGATTCTTTGTTGGAATGATCTTGGTTAAAGGCCAAGGTACACTCATGAATCCCAGGCTTCCATCAGCCCAATTATGAGGTGTCCATCTTGTGTACTTCAAAAGTTATGAGGAATTGACTAAAGTTGCAAAAAGACATACCAAGGTTTTCAAAATCTGCCGGTTCGCGATACTTTTACCCGACTGAAATCATGATTGTACCGGCCAAAATACTTGATGGAGAAAAAAAAAACGATTACATATTTAATTAAATTCGCTGTGATTGTTAGATTAGGCCAAAATAAAATATACCTTTGTTTCCCCTAACGCGACCGACCCACTTAAATCGTGCCGACTGAAATTTTTTTTTTTAATAAGATTATTTTAATAATTTTTTTTATTGTTTATCAACTTTGTGAAATAATATTTCATCAAAATTCGTTTTTTATCAGAACGGTTGCTTTTGTTTTACTCTCATTTGGCGCCCACAACATGTGGCCACAGAGGGTTAGTTCTGCCTCATGAGCAGATGAGAGACCCACCTTGTGTATGCATATCAATAAATTTCACTGCAATTCATTCGTTTCGATCTAATAAACAGTTCATAGTTCATAAACAGTCCTATTTTTACTACATAGGACCATAGGAGTTGTAAATATGTCTTTGTACGATTATTTCATCTTGATAAATATAATTCTGATGTCGTTTCTTCATTCCTTTTATCTATGGGTATTAACTTCGTGACTTTAACATTAGATATATGAAACTTTAATCATTTTAGATATGGTTTGGTTGATTTAAATATTGTTTATACACTCTTTCCAATTAGTGTTGAAATCTTTAAAATTTGCTTATGGTACGGCTACCTGATATGTCCAGTGTATTTTTCTTTAGTTTGGCCCTTGAAAACAGCTAAGTTGTTTCTTTGCTTCAAAATACCTTTAAAATTGTTGGGCCGGTGGAGGGCTACTAATTTAGACTTTTACTCGGCACTTATGGCCATTGATCATTAAGCATCAGTAAGGGATCTTTTTCGCGCCAAAATCTACATGTATACTGCGACACTGAACCTGCGTTTTTTACGGTCTCATTCGACTGACCAGTCTCCACGTCCCTCTTCGAGACCTGTGACTTAGAATAAGCTCCTGAATTACGTCGTCACTCCAAAACGAAACACTAGAATCACTGCGCCACGCGAGACCCTTGACATTTTGTCTGTGTAAGTACTCGACGATGATAGTAGGTTTGAAAAATACACTCGGATATCCGAGGGTTGAATATTTGCGAATCTTGTGTTTTTTGTAAATATTCGATTTCTATAAAATTACGCTGGCCTGAAATATTTCACAAGTTGAAATGAAAAATATTTGTGAATTAATTTACCATACATGTTGCTTCATTTGTATGATATTCGGTTTAAAAATCTGTTTCTGTTGTTCTTTCTTATTTATAAAGATATTATTCAATTTTTCAGAATGTATTTTCAAAACTGCTGTCAGAAAAAAAATAATAATTTACCTACCTACCTACCCAACTTGAGATTTTTGGGTCGGGTTAGGGGAAACAAAGATATTTTTAATGATGGCCTTAGTAAATATTTTACTAAATGTAATATTGCAGGGACAAACATACCACCGTCATGATTTTGCTTGAAGCAGGGTGTGATGTCAATGCTGCTAACAAAAATGGGAGGACAGCCATCCATGTGGCGGCTAAGGCTGGTTTCGAAGAACCAGCTAAACTTCTCATTGCCTATAAATGTAGCGTTAATGTCCAGGTATACAACGAAGAACTTAAAGAAGTTCTGCTCGTCTTATTGAAGCTACTATTTGCACAATAAAGCGGTTTAACTTAAACATGTATGAAAGCTCAGTTCGAACAACTCGCAATCGCAATGTTTTTCTTCATTTTTAGGACGTTGCTGGAGATACACCCCTACATGATGCAATTGAAAATGGCCAGAACGCTCTCATTTCCCTAATCGCTGATGTCAAGGGCATCAATTTTAGGCTTGTTAACAGAAAGGGCTATAATGCTCTCATATTTGCCGCTCTGAAAGGAAATAAAACGTATGTGAATATGACTAGATTTAACCTCTGTGGTCCAAAATATACAGAAAAATAAGAAGTCCTTTGTTTCAGCAGCAACTTGGTGCAAGCATTTTAAATATAAAGTTTTAGTTAAAACTAAATGTAATTGATATACATGTCTGTACACATGCCCGGATATCATAATGCGGAAGTATATTTTCCAGGGATGGCAATCGGAAAAAAATTTTGTAACCGGTTAGTTGCAAATTCTTCCGACTGAGTAACCGGTTAACCGAACAGAGAGACTTGTTTGTAATTTTACTATGAATTATTCAACTTATATTCTTAAGAAGCAAGTTGTAAAAATAAAATGCTATGGTAATATAATCAAAATTCTTTACCTTTTACAAAATAAAAAAAAGTATTTTGAAACTAAAAAAATTATTTTGCTACATATTTATTGCAAACAGAGTCAACCCATATTTCCATCGACATTCACATCAATTTCTCTTCTCCACTGCTATTCTTATGTTTAAAAAATGATTTATTGACCACTGCATGATATGATGGTGACTGGATGATTCTCAAGAAATCGCTCTGTTGTTCCGGAAATCGCAAGATATATAATTTACGGATAAAATTAAAAATTGATGGGATTTTGCGCTATTATCATATCACAACAGGGGGGATGTTAAAGAGAAGACACTTTCTTAAGTCTATTTTCTTCAGATTCATGACTCTCCTTACCATTTTAAGATGGGTTCTTAAGGGGGTGGAGGGTTCCAAGATTATTTTTCACTACTTTTACACACACAAAAAATTAAATCTGAAAATTCCTGGGCCGGAACACCCCCACCCCTCCCCTTTGCACCTGCGCATGCGGAATATAACAAAACACACAGTGAAATAGTGTACCGCATGAAACAATCGCTTCATTTTTTTTTTAATTTTTATAAAATTTGCAGTCCTGGTCTCTCTTAAAATACCGCTAATCTGTCGATGTTGATGGCATTCGCTGGAAAAAAAATGCAAATTTTTGCAGTGAATGAATAAACAAGATTATACCCAGTTAAACAATTACATTACTGAGTAGAATATAAGTTATTGCAATCTTTCCGACCGATTTATCGATTAACAGGTTAATTGTTGCCATCCCTGAATTATTTTCCATGTATGAACTTCAGTGCAACGAATAAAATCACTGCGAAATGTCCAGAAATGACAAATGAACCAGACTCAAACAAGAACAACACAGCGCTCCATGTTGCTGCAGTAAATAACAAGACAGAGATAGCAACCATTCTGCTCCTGCAAGTGAGTATCGTTATTAATTTTCAATCTTAATTAAGTAGAAAATAATTGTATAATCATTTTCAACGTTAGATTGAAAATTAATAAACGACGTAAGTATCAATTCATCTTGAGCAGCTAGATATATACTGTAAACCAACTATTATTCGCGTCATCTTTTATTCGCGATTAGTCCGTTTTAAATCAATCTACAACGATTAATTTTCGCGAATGAGGAAAAATGTCATATCTAACATTTTGTGCTGGGTTCACTTGTACTGCAAACACAACACAACACATACAATGAGATTGCATACTATAAGTATATATGTGTAGTTCAGCTTATCCATTAATCTTCTTTATTAGAATATTAGATATTTAGAATACTAGATCGTGTATATATATTGAAAGCACAACACAAGTGTGGGACATTTAAGAATTTGGTCACATAATTTGATTTAAAAAAAAATTGTTTTTCTAATTCGCTTTAAAAACTGTTAAAAGGCAGTCAGAAAGTGCCCACCTCAGCTCATTAAGTTATCTCCCTTTGCATGTTACAGTATGGACTATCCAATTAACAGAATTCAGAACAGAAAAAGAAATCCTGCAATGAATGCCATTGCAAACCTAAATGATTTTTCCTTGTTCAAAGGCACATTTTCCTCAAAATTGTCATTAGGAATTGTTGATAACATTGCAACAATTGTTGAAGACAGGCAAAATGAAAAAAAAAACAAAGACTCAAAAAAAAAATGGTCACCTGAGTATAATACAACAATTTAAAGGATACATAGAGTATAAAATGAACTGAAAGGTGAAGCTTTGTTGCCCAAAAGCAAGAAAAATAGGGTGATCATGATCAACATAATAATTGGTCTTCATATTCATTATCAGTTCATAAATTAGGTTCTATTCTGTTCCCCATTTCTCACTATCACCATACAGTATATCAACAAATTATAAATGTTTTTATACTATTTTAATTCCATATTGAAATCTCTTACATTGGCCTCTCTTGGTCCTTGATGAACATTTAATAAAACAAGTTATTTTTGTCTCATTTTTATTTATCTACTACTTACAAGTCTATTTGATTATTAACACTACAAATTAAAGTACTTTTTGTATTATACAACAAAAGTTTTTGCATAATTCTCTTATTCTATTTACCTTTCAAGTACATTATTTACAGTGATAAATTATCAAAAGTAAATGGCAAAGGGGAATAACTCCTCTCAGTAGAATACAAACTAATAGAGCCCTGGCCAGGACCAGAACACTGACCAAATGGTCCAGATGTTCAAAAATCTAGTAAAAATTCCCTTCCTTATAAAAACTTTTACTCTGTTTGCCTCAGATATGCCCAGGTGCGGAGAAGATTTTTAAAGAAATAATGCATTTTTACTACAGATTCATTATCTTAATAGAACCCCCCCCCCCCCCCCCCGAAACACCAGAGCTTCTAACCCTGGGACCATAAGTTATGGGGTGTGACAGATTTTGTCTTGTATTGTTGTTTTTATTATATATTTGAAAATAGTGTCCTAAAAATCATATATAAACTTGTAAATTAATTACTGAATTTTTAATAATTGAATGTGTTCTGTTTTTGTTGAATTTCCGTTTCTCAATCTTTTTAAAGGCAAATAAATGCATTCAGTGATACGAAATGAAATTATTATAAATCAAACAAATAATTATTTTGAATAACATAATATGTCTGATGAAATAAAATTACAATTTGAATAAACTTTGGAAAGAAATAGGAAAGGTCCGAGGTACTCCGAATGAAAAATACAGAGATGTTCCAGAAAGGTGTAATAAAGGGTGTGATAAAGGGTGAAATAAAGGGTGCTGATACAGGGTGAAATAAAGAATGCTGATACAGGGTGTGTAATACAGGACACGTGCCTGTGTTCATATTAGGGATGCAAAAATCCTGTATTATATAACAAATATATAATAAAAGCAATTAAATTGTTCGCGGCGATTAATATTCGTGAGTTGAAGTAGGTCGCGAAACTCGCAGATATTTCTCGCACGCGAATAAATGTTGGTTTACAGTAAGTAATTGTTAACTATAATAGTCTATTTTTTCGGTATAGTCTTTCTGGCTAGTGATTGTAACAGAATTCTATATTGTACACTGGCCACAGCGGTTGTCTAGAACAGTCCTAAATTGTTGCTGGACACCTTGTATATTTGACTCTTTAGGGAGGAGCAGATCCTAATAAGTCAAATAAGGATGGGAGGACCCCCCTCCACATGGCCTGCATTGAAGCGTACTACAATATGGTTAAAATTCTTCTAGATCACGGTAATCTCATTCTAGCAGAATATTGAATATTTTTTAAAAAAGAAATACATGCTTAAAAAATAATAAATAAAAATTTGCTTTTGTTAAAGGTGTTAGTATTTCCGTCTCTGATAACGACGGTAACACGCCACTACACTGTGCTCTAGGAGGTGTGCGAGCTCAACCAATGGTGAGGAAACTGGGTATTTTGAGTACTATTTAATAAGACCTTGTTTTAATTTTATTGGTCTGTTTGTATCGATTCTATATTCCTATTAGTGTTTCATTTCTCATTTTTGTATATTTTATGGTACTTCTAAAGTAAAATAAATGAAATACTGAAAATGCAATTAATACTTTTGTTTAATACAGCTGTTGATCTTGATGGGACATCAGGTTCAAACTAAGACAGAAAGAGTGAAGATTGCTTGTATGTTGATAGAATTTGGTGCCAAGATCGATCAAAGAAACAAAAAAGGCCAACAAGCCATAGACCTTGCCACAGAAGCAGACGTCAAAGCTGCTGTGCAACAACACGCTGACGCTGTGTAAGTTCCAGTTCCGACTTTTGTTAAACAATATCTTTTTGACTTTACAAATACGCTTATAATGAAAAATAGTTTACAATTCCTGCTTCTTTTTTCAATTATTCATTCTACTTGCAAGATCAAAAAGAAGAAGAGAAACGGGAGGCCGTGATCGGCCAAATTCCGGAAGAAAGGAACAGCTGATGTTTCAGCAGCAAATGGTTGTACCCTGCTTCATGTGTTTCCGACAGACCGGAAGTGTGACTAATGACCCATGTGGCCACAGATGCTTATGCCCAAACTGCTGTTTCCGGACAGAAGAATGTCCGGTATGCTTACAGAAAATTGATCGGCGACTTGATCCTCGTAAGTTTAACACAGATAAAGTATATTCCTGATATTCAATTTTCGTACTGTTATTAAATAAGTCTTTTATTATTTCTCTTGCAGATGGAAATGTTTTACAGCCCCTTAATTTAGATGACCTTTGCAAAGTCCAGTAGCCGCTAGTAAAATCAAAAACCTTACAAAAAACTTTTTAAAAATCTTTCAGTGTGATGTACAAAGATGTTTAAGTTTGCATCCACTAATACTATAATGTACTAGCGAACAAATAATTAGTCACCGTGGCATTTAAAACAAAACAAACACGAAAACTAAATGTAACCTACTGATGTAAATATTTGTGTGTAATCTTTATGTTTCTGCGTTTGTTTGCATGTTTTTAATTTTATTTTTAAATATATTATCTTTAGCTGTGTACATGTGTGATAATCCTCCACCCTCACCACCACCTGGTGCAACTGATGTACACGGTAACATACTCGGAAATTAAAATATGTGTGAATCCGTATACGCTATTTGAAATCACAACGACATTACACAGGCTTACAATTGTTTAAGTTCTATATACTTATTATTAAAAAAATTAAAAAAAATTATTGCATTATTTTTTATTTACATTTGCCAATTAATTCTAATGACAACAAGTCTGGATACACTGTATATACCTTACAAGCCCGTAACAACGGTTTTAAAAGTGTGAGTATTGAGAGGGGTGGGGGCAACCTCCCAAAGAAATCTGACAAGCAAAGAAAATAGATGTTTTTGAAACACTGATTTCCCCGTATGGCAGCTTATGGCGAATGTTAAAGTTTCTCAAATGCAAGTTAAACTCCAGGTCAAGAGATCAAAAATGCTGGTACCTAAAGAAAGGTTTTGTCTCAAGAAATATGCCTATGAAATATGAAAGCACTAACACCAACCTTCTAAAGTTATGGACAAGGTTAAAGAATTTTAAAAGTAGGTAAAACCCAAAGGTCAAGGACAAAAGGTCAAAACAGTTCAGTGGTACCCAAGGGAAGGTCTTATAACAAGAAATAAACAAGTGAAATATGAAAGCTCTAGCACCAACTGTTCAGAAGTACTGGCCAAGGTTAAAGTTTTCAAAAGTAGGGCAAAATTGTTGGTAATCAAGGGAAGGTCACAAGGAATACACTGTGAATTTTTTGAAAGCCCTACTACTAACCGACCAAAAGTTATAGCCAAGGTTAAAGTTTTTTAAAAGTGGGTCAAATTCGAAGGTCAAGGTCAAAATATTTATACCCAAGGAAAGGTCTTACAAGAAAAATACATATGAAGTATGAAAGCTGTTCAAAAGTTATGGCCAAGGTTAAAGTTTTGTAAATTAGCAAAAGTGGGTCAAACTCCAAGGTCAAGAGGTCAAATATGCAAATATATGCATTATATTTGCAATATGCAAATCCTAATGCAAATATACAACTACTATTAAACGGAGAACAATGGACAACCATACACTAAGTATAAAGTCGGTAAAAAAGTTGGCGTCCTTATTATCGTGCGGAGATTAAAGAAATTAATTGTGATGATCCCAGCCTTTGAAAACAGATTTGTACTTCGTAAATACATATTTTTGTTATACCTTTAAAAATTGGTTTCCTATATAAATCTATACTTTAAACAGTTTAGCATTTCCAATGTTTTACTGAGTGGTCTTAAAAAATCGATGTTTGGCCGCGGGGTGAGTTATTGGACCTGTCGATGAGATATTGGACCGCTTACGTCACGCTGTGGGCGGGATCAGCTAAATCTTATTTGCATTCTTGATGTAACTGTTTGACAGTGACAGAGTTTTACCGCAGTGCTGGTAAAGGAAATTTACATCATAGAGCCAGCACAAGATACATGCATGTCAAAATAGATAAATAAACAAGAGGCCCATGGGCCACATCTCTCACCTGAGCACTTTGGCTAGGAGTTCAGTATTTTATGAGTTGTATCATTCTCTCCCTAAGGGGAGGGGGACATGATTTGAACAAACTTGAATCTACACTAACTGAGGATGCTAACATATTTCTTTGGCAAATCATGGCTTTAGAAGTTTTTAAAAAGATTTTTCCTATAAGTTTTATCTTCTATCCCCAGGGGTCATAATTTGAACAAACTTGAATTGACACTACCTGAGGATGTTTTCTTATAAATATGACCAATCATGGCTCTGCTGTTCTTAAGAAGAAGATTTTTTAAAAGTTTTTCCCATGTATTCTTATGTAAATCTTTGATCGTTCATTGTGGCCCCGTCCTACCCCTGGGGGTCATAATTTGAACAATCTTGAATCTACACTACCTGAGGATATTTTCACACAAGTTTCATTTTTCCTGGTTCTGGAGAAGAAAATTTTTAAAGATTTTTCTTAAGTATTGCTATGTAAATCTTTGATCGTCTATTGTGGCCCCGCCCTACCCCCCGGGTCATGAATTGAAGAAACTTGAATCTACGTACACTACTGACGATGCTTCCATATAAATATGACCAATCATGTTCTTGAGAAGAAGATTTTTCCTATGTATTCCTAACAAAAAATTTGAATCTACACTGCCTGAGGATGCCAACAATTTGAACAAACTTGAATCCCCTTTACCCAAGGATACTTTGTGGCAAGTTTGGTTGAAATTGGCCCAGTCGTTCTTGAGAAGAAGTCGAAATGGTTAATGTTAGGACATGTGTATTCTTTGTTACCAGACCTTTCTTTGGGTACCAATATATTTGACCTTGACCTTTGACCTACTTTTTCAAAGTTTTATCAAACTTAAACCTTGGCCATGACTTTTGAACGACTGGTGCTATGGCTTTTATATTTCACAAGTGTATTTCTGTGACCAGACCTTCCCTTTGGTACCAACAACATTTTTTACCTCTTGATCTTGGAATTTGATTTACTCTTGTAAAAAATTAACCTTGTCCATAACTTGTGAACGGTTGGTGCTTTCATATATCACCTGTGTATTTCTTGGTACCAACTTACGTTTTTTTTTCTTTCTATTCATGAGGACGATAACTGACTTTGAAGCACGTGATACGGTAACGTAGCCGCTTACCGGTATACAGGAATTATCAAGCAGGCCAGCCCTCCCCCTTTTTTCCGAGTATAGTATTTTGCTACAGTAAATTTCCTTTAGATGCTGGTTGCCCCCCCCCCCCTTTTTGTTGTTGTAAGGTTGAGCACTGGCATATTCCAGGATCTGGACAGTAAATTAATGCCGTGAAATAAATAAATCAAACCCAAGTAGGAAAATACAACAACAAAAAGCTAAAGATTTTCAAAATAAATTCCAGGAAACGGAAACAATTAAAGGTCTATTCATCTGATTCAAGGCAGGACAGAATGTCCAAAATAACCGTGGACATTTGTGTATGTCCGAAATAGAGTTCTAAACCACGCAGCATTACATGACTGTTATCAGTGGGGAACGCCGTACACTACGAGATTTGAGCGCCATGGAATTAACATATGCCTGTATCTTCTATGTCGCAGGTAACAATTAAGTAAATGATCATAATTCAAATACCTGGTACTAATTATTTTTCATCCCACGTTCAATTAGTCCGAAATATTTGACGTTTTCCGGGCGTTTTCACGATTTTGATGTTTGACTTGACAGGAACGTCAAATATCAAAATCATGAAAACACCTGGAAAACGTCAGATATTTCGGACTAACGTTCAATATACACAAACTTTTTTTTTGTTATCGTGTGTGTGCAATTGCGATTTTTAGCTCATCCGAGCCTGTTAACTCGTCCGATCGTAGGGTTTCCTTCTGTCAGTCTTCCGCGTGTTGTCTGTATACATTCACCTTTTCAACTTCTTTCTGCAGAAGCACCGAGCCAATTTCAACCAAACTTTTTTCAAAGCATCCTTGGGCGAAGGGGGTCAAGGGGAGATAACTAAGAAATAGTGAAAATTTTGTGGTATCATTTGAAAATTTTATTTTCACAAACCCACCAGGCCAGAAAAGAAAAAAACTTAAATGAGTTCTTTTTTTTATACTGTTTAGATTCAAATATGTTCATTTCATGGCTTCATGGCTCCCGGGGTTAGGATGGGGCCACGATAAAGGATCAAAGTTTTATGTTGGAATATACATATGTACTGGAAAAAAATCTTTAAAAAACTTTTCGAGCACAGCATAGTTGTGTTAAGTGATTTTCCTCAGGTAGTGCAGATTCAAGTTGTCCAAATCATGACCTTAGGGGTGTTGGTTGGGGCCACAGTACGGAATCAAAAAAAATTATTAGAATATAAAGGAAATTCAAAAACTCTTTTAAGAACAGCAGGTGAGCACTATGGTCCAAGGACCACTTTTTAAGTTGTATTGGTCGAAGAACATATCTTATGCGATGGAATGGTGTCTGTTGTCTGTAGGATTTTTTTCCAGTACATATTTGATCCTTTATCGCGGCCCCTTCCTAACCCCTGAAGCCATGAAATGAACATACTGTATTTGAATCTAAACAGTATAAAAAAGAACTCACATATGTCTGTATGATTTTTTGAAACCATTTTATGCCCCGCCATGAATATAACCTGGGCATATAGTGCTTGTCATGTCCGTATTCCGTCCTTCCTTTTTTTTTCGTCCATCTGTCTGTCCGTCCGTCACACTTTGCGTTTAGCCCCGTTTCAAAGACACTATTCAAGATATTTTAACCTAAACTCACACATTGATACATTTTGATGAGAAATTTTCAGCTGTGGCATAATCTTCTGACCTAGACCTTCCCTGTGACTTTGACTTCGCTATTCCCTATTTTGTGTTTTGTTCAGTTTCAAAGTAACTATTCAAGATATTTTTAAATCAAAATTCAAACACTGATACACACTAGTGGGCGCTTTTACAATGTGTCATAATTTTTTTACCTTGACCTTCAATATGACCTTGACCTCATTTTTTCTTGCATTTAGCAGTTTAGAAGAAATTGTAAATATTTTTCATCAAAACTCATACACTGATATCGGTTGTAACTATTCAACTGTGTAATAATTTTCTGACCTTGAATTTCCCTATGACATTGACTCAACTATTTTCATTTTATCTTAGTTATGAAGAAACCGTTCAAAATCTTTTCATCATGCAAACTTCATACAAAGATAAAAATTTATTAGAGCAATTCAACTTTTTGCCCTTCATCTTCCATGTGACATTAACCAAACTATTTGTCACTTTTTATCATAGTTTCATAGATATTTTCATCAAACTTCATAAAAAGATACAATTGACCTTGACCTGCTGTATGACCTTGAACATGCTATAAATTGCTTCATATTCAGCACAGTTTAGAAGAAACTGTTTCTAATATTTTCTTCAAACTTCATACAATAATACTAGTGACAACAATTCAGCTGTGTCATTATCTTCTCTAGACCTTCCTAATGACCTTGACCTCACTTTTCCCTCATTTTGCATTAATCTAAGTTTTAGATACAATGTTCAAGAATTTTTCATCAAACCTTCTATACTGAAGCACATTGGTGAGAGCAATTAATTATGCATTTCACATTTTTTCCTTATTTTGCCCTTACTTCATCTATAAGAATTCCAAAATGGATAACTTTAGATCAAAAGAGCAAGTACATTTCGTTTTACTGTTGCATTATATCACAAAAGTACCTTGGGTGGGGCATTCATGTCCTATGGACACATTTTTTTTTTCAAAATGCTACCCCTCCCATAGTTAGTCCGATACAAGTAGGCTAGTAAGGCTACTAAGGTACATAATTCCTCTCTTTTTATTTAGACGGTGTTGTCATGGTTACTAAAAAAAGAAAATTCTGTGAAAATTTCAAAACGCTTGTTCTTCCTTGAGTTTTCCTCCGATTTCATAGAAAACCTGGTACATAAGTCGACAAAAATAAGAAAGGTACATGTATCTTTCTATCAAACAGTTTTTTTTTTAAATCGATGAATGATGTTGCCACAGTTACTAAGAGGAATATTTAATTCTTTCTTCAGGTTAGTTTTGATTTTTAAAAAAAATTGGAATAAAGGTATACGATACCATGATTCACATTAAATTTCGATGGTCAAAGTAGTTGTGGTTAATTAAAATAGAATCAGTATAGCTGCAACTCCTCCTACAGTTTTGGTAACTTGGTACAAAGTTAGAAAAACACCAGGATATATTAGTATATATGTACATGTAAATGTATTTCGGCATGTTAAACAAAAATAGAGTGTTTCAAGTCCAGGTTCTACATTTCTCTTCCTCTTAAGTAGAGCTCATTCTTTACAGAAACTTCTGCATGGATGAAACACGCATTGGATTGAAAAACAAAACCCTGTGAAATACTTTACCGTTTACTTCATCACTCGTACTAATTTCAGTGAATTTTTCAGAATCAGTTATTAACAAATTGACCACATTCATATTAACATATCATGTAGGTCTTGCAACAACAGTAGCCTTTGTTGCTGACGGCGAACTTTCACAATTTATGACTAACCTCTGGAACGAAGATGTTAACCGAGCAAGTTCTCATGACATCAGGTATAACCTTCAAGGTCATTCTCCAACTGGGCATTCAGGTGTGGATAATGCCCCTAACAGGTGAGTAGTGTCCTTATAACAACGTCTCTAACAGTAAAAGGCCAAATAATGAGCGTTTTAGGGTTCATTATCCGTTTTTTTTTTTTTTTCACATATTAACCAGATGTTAACGCTAGTGATTTTCCAAAACAAATCTACTACGATTAAGATGTAAAAATTTTAGAATACCTTAGCAAAAACTGGGTCAAAGTTTGACATAAATAGCTTTTTACTTGACAATTTTATACGAGAATAATTGTAATTTATCTCAGTAAGAGATATCTCTCTTATCAAAGGGTTGATGAACCTTAATATACAAAATGATGAATTGTTCCGTTTTTTCAGGTTCTTTAGCTATGTAAATGAGGGTCACCTATTTCATAGACCAACTTATTCCACTTTTATTTCCCTTCTGAACAACTACCACTACAGGACCGGAACAAGTGAATACCAGACAACGACCGAGGATACAGAAGTCTCCATGTTTCTCTCCCAGATTTCGCAGACGAGTGTCATAAAACTAGCACAGCAGTTCCTACACTCAAAAGGTTTTCAGAATTTTTTTTCTCTACCATAGCTTAGTTTGAAAATTCGTTGTATTCATCATTTCGCTTTACTCCACTGCTGTTAAATCAGAGAATTGAATATACATGTACCCATTTCCTCACTTGTCTTGATTCTCCTTCTACCTCAGTAACTCATCTGATAGAAGGAATTTTAATGTCAACTTTACCATAATTGCAGATGTAGTTAAAGTAAATATTGTATACAATTTGAAAAAAAGGATACACCGGGAGTTCGATGTCGGCCTTTATAAGCACTCTGAGGAAAATTTGGTTTGAATTTTACCCCCGCTCATCTCACACGACACACGAAGATACAAGTGGATTTGAACACGTTTTTGTTGGTGAAACTACCAGCTCAAAAGTTGACGGTTTTCACAATTGGATCCAATATTACCTCGAAGAAAAGCATGGAAACCTTAACTATCTTGGCTTTGTCTATACAAAACAGGTAAGCAATCGATCGTTTCGAGTTATTTAAAATAGAGAAAATGTATTGTTCTATTGATATTTATAAAAGGACGAACGTTTTGAGTTATTTAAAATAGAGAAATATTAATAATATTGTTCTATTGAAATTTTCTAAAAAGGACGAAAAATTTATTAAATAACCTTTTTTATAAGTTTTTTTTTAATTTATAAAGCCGGAAATTATAGGCACTCACTTCCAGTGGCATCATCAGATTAAATCCCTTAGTTCATTCATTGTCGGCTCCAGTCCTGAGTTTGACCTTGCCATGTATACCGTCTGCTTCTTTGTGCGCCAAAACAGAGACTGTAGATTCACAATGGCTGGCCATAGCATGGATGTCAAGACCTACACGGTGTCCTTCGGATCTTACACAGATTTAATTGCCACAGCATATATCAATTGATAAAAAAACAGTATATTCCCAAACCTCGTTTGGGGAACTTAAATAATTAAATGCATGGTTCATGGGCAGATCTAGAGGGAAACTTTAGAACTCACACCATAATATCAAATATGGCATTAGAATTGCAAGAACAGTCATTTATTTAAGAACTTTAGTTGACATATCTTTGTTAATAACAAATAGATTTAGCACAAAGTTTTACTCAAAATCTGTTCTCAAAAAGCAAGAAAACAACAGTCCTAAGAACAATAATATCAATTATAAATGATGCTTGAAAATACATTAACTGGAATTAAAGGCTTAACAATCCTCATCCAACACACTGACGCAAAGCATCTTGTACCTTTGGATACCGAAACTGAAAACCTGTTTCTAAAGTTCTTTTGGGAATAACTTTTTGTCCCTCCAAAACTACCACAGAACGTTCACTTCCGAAAACAAGGTTCATGACAAAACCTGGTGTAGGTAAAATTGCTGGACGTCCCAATGCAGCGCCAAAAGCCTTTGAAAATTGTTCATTTGTGACAGTGTCAGGAGCCACAGCATTTAATATACCCCGAACATGATCATTGAAAATAGAGAAATGAATTAAACTAGCAACATCGTCCACATGAATCCATGGTAACCATTGTGTTCCTTTACCAATGGGGCCACCTAAACCAAAGTAAAACTGCCAGTACTGGTTTTGTATCAAACCACCATCTCGTCCTAAAACTACTCCTGTAAAGAGAGCAAGAGCTTTATTTTAGAGGCACCATAGACGACTGGATTAACTTAATCAATGATAATATAGTGACAGTGCAAGCCAATACATGTATATTTAAGTATTGATCAATTTTTCTTCAGCATATTGTCTGACAAGCTACATTCTTCTCTACTTGGTAATGTTTGCTCCAATTTATTCTGATTTCTCAAATTATCAGAAACAAGAGAACTGACATAGTCAGAGAGGGCCTGCTAAGGGCTGTTAAAGGACTAACAAGATGTACATTCAGGCATACATATGTACATACAGACAAAATGAAATGACACTTAAATTATAATGGCCTTTCTCTTATAGTAAAGTTCTTCTGTGTAAAATGTGAAAATGTTATGTTGAAAACTGTCAAGTTATCAAGTCACAAAAAAGTCCACGATATACCTTCAAACACATGTATAGACAAACAAGTGATATGACCCTAAACTTTGTAGGTGTCTTGCTCTTACAGTAAAGTAGTTACGTACAAAATTTGAAAGCATATCATTTAAAACTCGTCACAACAAAAGTGTTTACAGAAAAAACAGATGGACAGACAATGTGATTCCTTTAGGGCTCCTGCATTTTCATGCTGGGCCCTTATCAATACTTGTAAACATGTACCTACTCAGATTTTTTGCTAAATGACAGTAAGGTAAAAATAAGATTAAAAAAATTACTATTTCTGTATATTTCTCTCTAAAGCACAGGCACTTGAAGTTTTAACCTTTCTCTTTATTGATAAAAATATCCCCATACTAATATAGTATGGGGATATTTTATCAATAAAGAGAAAGGTTTAAAATGTCAAGTGCCTGTGCTCTAAAGGTTGAATTTAAAAAGGACTAGAAATATGTGCATAGGGAATGAATGCCCCCGCCCAGGGTTCATTAGTAATGAAATATGAAAATTTGTGTAAGTGCATGAAGTTTGATGAAAATATCTTGAATAGTTTCTTTAAAACTGAGTTTTATACACAATAAATAGTAAAGTCAAAGGTCATTGGGAAGGTCAAGGTAAAAAATTTGGACACAGTTGATAAATTCTCAACAAATAATTTATTAGTGCACAGGCTTACATAAAAATTATCTAGAATAATTTCTTTGAAACTGAGCTACACACAAATTTGAAAAAAGTTAGGTCAAGGTCAAAGGAAAGGTCAAGGACAAAAAAGTGATGAACTTGAATAACTCTTCTAATGTGTATCAGCATATAAAGTTTGATAATTATATCTTCATTTGTTTCTATGAAACTTAGCTAAACACAAATTTAAGAAAAGTGAAGTCGAAGTCAAAGGAAAGGTCAAGGTAAAAAAATGTTGATGAAGTTGAATAGAACTCACCAGTAAGTATCAGCTTATACGGTTTTATAAAAATATCTTCATTTGTTTCTTTGAAACTTTGCTAAAAACTAATTTAAGAAAAGTGAGGTCAAGGTCAAAAATGTTGAAGAAGTTGAATAGTCCTTACCAGTATGTATCAGCATATATGGTTTGATAAAAATATCTTGAATAGTTTCTTTGAAACTGAGCTAAATGCAAAGTATTACGGAAGGGCGGTAGACAGACATGACAAACACTATATGCCCCGGCCATATTCATGGTGGGGCATAAAAATGTTAATTTTTGTGTGTTTCATAATAACTATCAATTCCAAACATAGTCTCTAATTACAATTTCCTTTTTATAGAAAATATTCAGTGATCCCTTGAGCAACTCACTGATACTAACCTGATCGTAAAATGACCTGTCGGCATTTTTTCTCTGTGTCTGCATGAATTTTGGCCGCTAACTCCCAGTCTTTGACGAGGTTTGACATGTAATCATACGGCTGTACCGGGGAATCTTCGGTGTATTCTTTGACTGGGTCAGGCTTATATATGGCTGGAAAAAAAAGTAACAAAATACGCCAGTGAAAGCAATTTTACAAAGTTCAATTTTTTTGTGAAGCCAGTCCCAAATTTTCTGTAGTTTACCAATTTTATTATTTGCACCTAGATTTAAAATGGATTTTACCGGTATTTAATATAAACTTTCTTTTTAAAAATGTAATTATATTCTTTAAATTTGTAAAATATTAAGGAAATGTCAACATTCTAATTTCCATTTGAAATAATGCTTTCAAACAACATGTATTTGAAGCACATGTGTATAACTGGAGGAATACCACAGAAGCTTTTATTTGCGTACCTACTCCAGACATACTGATGAAAGCTTTGGGAGTGCGAGGAGTAGTATCACAATACTGAGATAATATTTTAGACGTCTCTATACGACTAGACTCCACTTGCTCTTTATATTCAGCATTGAACCTGCAAAATTAAAATAATCATAAAGATAAAAATCTTAATGCTGCTATCAGAAATGACATTAAAGTTTCATTTTTCCTGGGGGTAAATCTGTAAATGGTAGATAAACCTATGCTGAAAATGAAAGAGATCAACTCAATATTTACACCTTTTTACAATTTAATTTTCTCAATGTCCAAAAACTTTTTCATTATGTATAGAGGGTCGTTAAGTTTGGTCAAGGCAGAAATTGAAATTTCTTGAAATTCACCTGTCCCAATGCCTTTAAATGGCAACTCAATTTCATCATGTAATATGTCATGCAGAATCAAGGAAGTGAGATATACGAGACTTCAGAAATAGGTTTTTACCCTTCAAAGACTGAAATGGCAAAGAAGAAGAATTACCTCTTAAATGGATTCAGAATGTTGTAACCACAACAGTTTACGAGGACATCTAGATCACTTGGAAATCCATTGTCATTCACCTCACTCTGTATTTCAAAAACAAAACAGAATACATGGTTCACATGCACATTGAAAAAGCAACAAAAACAGAAATATGTCTTTCTAATCAAGAGTGGCCAACACTCTTCCAAAGAAATCAATGCTTACATGCAACATCCTCCTTTTTTTAAGAGGAAAGGGGGGGCTATGTACAGTTATAATTATGCTTATCATTATTTACATTTTAGAATTCAAGCATAAAAATAATACTATTAATCCAAAACAAAAATCTGATAAATAAACAGACCTTACCCAAGTGATTTCTTTGCTTAATTTGCTTCGAGAGGGTTTACTTCGTCTGTTTAGCTGTATGATTTCACATTCTGATCTAGACAACAGTCGAACAAGATTTCGTCCCACAAATCCACTGGAGCCCGCTTAAGAAGAAAATCATTTCAGGTTTATAATAGATGATAATAAGTTGCATGTCAACATAAAATTGCTTGTTTGCCAACATAAATAAGTTGTATCTAGTATGCTTGAAGGGCAATATTTGAAAATTCCTATCTGATTACATTTTTCTTGCATGAAGATCAACATAGTTATGTTGCATGTTGATATATGACATAATTATCTTGGATTAAATCTGTAGAAAAATAACCTGCATATAATATTCCACCATAACACCCTCCTTTGTTTGTGCATCTTTTACATGAACCTCCTAATTTGTAACTACTACATGTTCATAATCCATTATTCCTCTGACCTTGACCTTTGACACATCTTCTGGTTTATTCCTCTTGCAACTTAGCATGTCATGACCTCTGAAGCAAGCATAAGTATGGATACATGGTGTGGATATGATGCATGCACAGGTCATGCAGTCACTATCCCCCCTTCCCCTTCCAGTACACAGATATTGTATAAATGGCTTTTGCACCAGGAGAAAGTTGTACTATAGACAATTAAAGTTAATATAATAAATCAAAATAAATAATTATGTTTGAAAATCAACAGTTTAATAACTGAGGGGAAAAAAACAATCCTTAATCAAACAATAGATATCAATTCTACTTGTACTTAAGATAAATAGAATATCTAAATACAAATTAATTTCCTTCAACAAAGTCATAAATGTACTGCCTATACTTTATAATACATAAACATTCTTTGAAGTTTTTTTTTTTTTTTTTGCAGTATACTCCAGAATTAGAAATGACAACACTAAATATAATAATAACAACAGGCCAATGGGCCACTATGCTTAAATGAGTTCCTAAGGCCGTATCTACTGTTCTTCAGCAGCAGCAGATTTTTTCTGATATATTCCTAAGTAAAACTTTGATCACATATTGTGGCTCCATTCTATCTCAAACGGTCATGATTTGATCAAATTTGAATCTACACAACCAGAGGATGCTTCCATACAAATATTACTAATCATCATGATCATAGCTTTGCTGTTCTTGAGAAGAAGATTTTTAAGATTTTTTCCTTCATATTTCTATGTAAAACTTTGATCCCTTGTTGTGGCCCCACCCTACCCCGAGGGGTCAAGTTTTGAATAAACTTGAATCTACACTTCTTGAGGATGCTTCCAAATAATATGACTAATCATAGCTTTTTTAATAAGATTCTTTAAAACACTTAATCTTGAGAACAACATTTTTCCTACATA